TTGGCCTGTCCGACCCAAGCTCCTGACGCCCCACCCTGACCTGTCTTCACCATCACGGGTACTGGCCGCTCCGTCCTTTCAGTTGTGCTGGACAGTTGGACATCAGCCTCGAATCCTTCCTCTTTGGCCCCACATCCGATATGTCCACAGATCCTTTGGTTCGTCCTTCAAAATATGTGCAGATATTTGATGATGTTAAGAAATTATCATTAAGTTTCTTTAGATGTGATAATGGCATTGCGGTCACATTTTTTTAAAAGTACCTTTATCTTTTAGAGATTCTTACTGAAATATTTATAGATAAAATGATATGAAATCTGGGATTTACCCAGAATAATCTAGGGCAGTAAATTTCACCTGGAGGACTCGTTAAAACAGATTTCTGGGTCTCAAGCTCAGAGTTTCTGATTCAGTAGGTCTGGGGTGGGGCCCAGTAATTTCTGTTTCTAATGCTGGTTGTTGCTCATTGTCTGAGGACCATATTGTGAGACCCACTGATCTAAGATGTGGGGGTGGAGGGTGTGAATGGAGCAGGGTTGAGCATAGTTGACAGCAGTTGGGCCTGGTGGGCACATGGTAATGTGGGTACATAGGGTTTATTACACTTCATTGGAAATTTCCATAGTGAAAAAGTGTGTGTGTGTGTGTCTATGTCTGTGTCTCCAGAATCTGACTGTTCTTAGCGCTTCCGCTGCCACCGCCCCGGTCTAAGCTAGCATCGTCCCCTGCCTGGATCATCCTAGTGCCTCCCCTGCCTCCCTGGGATCTGTTCTCAGCAGAGCAGCCACAGTGATCCTCAACACCCGGCAATGGCTCCCTCTCACTTAGGATGAAACTCCAAATCATTTTTGAGCCAGAAAGCTCTTTACAATGTGTCCCCTACTCCACTTCCTCTGTCTGACCTCCTCACTGGCCCTTGGCCATGCCGGGATGCTTCTGCCTCAGGACCTTGGCACGTGCTTCTGGACCTGCTGTGCTCCCCTGCCCCTCATTCAGCAGTCCCTCTCACTTCCTTCAAATCTGCGTTCGAAACTTGCCCTGAGGGTGAGGCTTTCTCAGACCACACTGTGTAGAATTCCACACACCCACCACCCTGCCTCATGCCCCCCTTCCTGGCTCACATCACTGTCTATAGTGTGCTTATCGATCTTGTCTGTCCCCCTTGGCAGGGAGCTCACGTGATGCCTGGCACCGTGTCTGCCCCACCACTCCACCACCTTTGGGGATGTGCCTCAGGGTACCATTGCCCCTGGCCCCGACTCCCACCCAAGGTGGCCTCCACTGTTACTACTCATCCATTCGTGACACATGCCCCCTTGCCGCTGCCAAGGGCCGTCCTTGGCCAACCCTGCTGAGCACATTTTCTGCCTGTCTGGCTCACTGCTTGTCCTCGTACCTAGAACAGTGCCAGCCATAGGAGGATCTCAACTCCACATTCACAGAATGAATGACTGAATCCCAGGGGCAAGAAGTGGACCAGAAAAGAGGGGTACAGTAAATGAGGGGACTTGCTTGCACAGGCTGGAAATTCATGGCCAGTGGGAGGAAAAACAAAACATTCTGACATGGAAAAACCACAGGAAATGCAGCAAAAGTGTGGAAGACAGGAGCAGTCTATTTTGAGACATTAAGTAAAGGACGGAAGTTGCAAATGGGCAGGCCAAATGCAGTCTGTAGAGGTGTGTGATCAGCCTACACAATGCTTAAAATAAATGTGGATTGGTTGCCAACAGGGGAAAATCAGGAGTGTTCTATTTCTTTCAAAAAGCTGAAGACTCACAGCACCGGGCTAGCACGCCCACCTAGGACCGCTGGCTGGAACTGACCGTCTATTTGGTAGAGGGGTGTATGTCCTCTGGCCATCCATGCCTTCTGGCAACTTCATCCATTTGTCACTTGTCTGGTGCTTGTAGACATGTGATTTGTGAGCTCCTTTGAAAGAGCAAAATGGATTTCTTCTTCCTTCAGACCTGGCTGAGGAAAGTACAGTTGTCTGGGGCAAGCCAGGGTGTCAGGTGGTTTTGGAACAGGCTGCTGGGAGGCCAGGCTCTGGGAGTGCTGGGAGCAGGGCAGCAAGGGCACCCTGCAGCACGGGTGGGACGCCGCCCCTCATACATTCAGGGCTCACAGGGAGCCGGAGAGGAAGCTGACTGGAGAGGCAGTTTGCAGGGGACGCTGGGTGTCGAAGGACTGTCTCACCTAATGAAAAGGTCACCGAGTGTTAACGTCTTCCTCAGAAAGTTACGCTGCAGTCCTGACTCTCAGCAGGTCAGACTGTGACCTTATTTGGAGACAGGGTCACTGCAGGTAATTAGCTGACATGAGGTGAGGTCATCCTATAAGAGGGTGGATCCTGAATCCAACATGACAAATACCTTTATAAGAAGAGGAGAGAGGCTCATAGGCACAGGGAAAGAAGGCCATTGGCTGAGGGAGGCTGAGATTGGAGGGATGCGGAGGCAGGCTGAGGACCAAGGGCCACCAGCAGAAGCCGGCAGGGGATGGGGGCGGAGCTTCCCATGGAACCTTCACAGTGAGCGTGGCCCTGCTGTCCCCTGGCTTTCAGACTTCTGGCCTCCAGAACTGAGATGATAGAGTTTTGTTGTCTTAAACGATCCAGTTTGTTTACAGTTAGTCTGTTTGTGATGGAAGACCAGCATTTTGTCACAGGACTGTCCACCTGCTAAGGTGGTGGCTGGCTGCGGTGAGGTTCTCACGTATAAAGGCAGAATGATGTTTGTATTACAAAGTCAGTAATCGACAAGATTCGATGGAACAAGGGAGCCCGGTTATGTTGTGCTTTTTATATTTATATTAATATTTATTAGTATGTATTTATATTTAAAAGGTTTGCCTCTTAAATATGAGGGTGAAAAGCCTTTTTTATTTGCATAGGTTCAGTTTTCCTCGTGACAGATGACGTGACATGCGCTTGTCATCTGCAACCCAGCAGGGCAAAGAGGCCATTGTGTTTCCTCAGCTTTGCCGTGTGGTCACAGTTCCGCCTCTGAAGTGGGGGTTTGACCACTAGACACTTTAGCAGTTTCCTGGTATTTTGTTTTATTGGGTTGGTATTATTTGCAGAGGTGGATGAACACACAAAGAGCTCCTTGTTTATGGCCAGCAAACGCCAGCTGATGATATTATGGCTTAAGGGTTCTGTTTGAGGCCTTTGCAAAACTCAGAGGGTTGACGTGCACATTTTGTGTCAGGGTTATTCCCTTGCATTTATAAACTTCTCTCCCAAGGTGGAAACTAGGAGCAGTCCAGTTTGCCTAACCCTGGGTCTGCCTGCAGCACCCACAGATGGAAACCCCATGTCTGGCCATGCACATGGCCTGCAGGAGGGACCCTCCCTTCTCCTGCGAGGTTGGGACATCCCAGGGCTTGCCTGAGCTAGAGCAGGGGCAGGCCCATTTCTAGGGACACTCTGCAGGCACATGGCGCAGTGCCCATCCTTCAGATATGCCAAAGTGCAGGACCTGGGGAGGCTGTTCTGGGTGGTCTGGGTGGACCCAGGGTGCTCACAAGGATGCTCAGAGGATGAAAGGTGGGGCAGGAGAGGAGAGAGAGTGAGATTTGCAGATGAGAGCAGAGTCAGAGCTTTGAGAGGAAGCGAAGGGTCCGGGGCTGAGGAATGCAGGTGGCTCCTAAAAGCTGGAAAAGGCCAGGACATGGATTCTGTGAGCTTCCAGACAACACAGTCCTGCCCACACCTTGATTTTATCTAGTGAAATCCATTTCAGAGACTTTGGACCTGCTGAAGTCCAAGGTCATGAATGTGTATTGTTTTGGGCCGCTGAGTCTGTGGTCCCTTGTTACAGGAGCAGTAGGAGGCTAAAATCATTCCGCACCTCTCCCAGCCCCATGTCTGAGGGCCTGTGGCCTTCTAGCCATTTTCATAATTATCTTTAGGTTCCTTTGTACACCTCTCCCCTAAAAAAAAACTAATCAGTCAGAAAAATTCATGTGTTAGTGGAAAATATAACTTCTTTAAATTCATTCTTAACCTTTCCATTGTTGCCAACTCCTTGGAGATTCTGATGAATTCTATGGATCCCAGCCCCATAAAAATATACATACAAAAATCAGATTCCACAGATTCTCCCAAAAGCTATCCCGTGAAGCTCCCGAATCTGCAGGGCCTTCCTCCCCAACCCTAGACTAAGAGCCCTTCTATTACTTCAATTCAACTGAAGCTGGACGACTGCTTTCCTAATAAGTCTCCTGAACGGTATTCACCACATTCTTATTGGAGGATTCATCCATGTTTTTATTTCGTCCTGTGCATTTGGAAACATTCTCCTGGGAACAGGTCCCAAGGCCTGACCCTGTAATGCCAAATGGGTCTGTGGTATTGCTGTAAAGGTTAAGCGCTCCCTGCTCCGGAGGGTCTGTCCCTCTGTCCTTCCCTCTGTCACTTTTGCCTTCACCCTGGGCTGTGGTTTGCCCTGGGTGTTAATGTGACTGCTGAAGACCCAGGGGTCCTGCATGCAGCTTGCCCTGGCCATGTCCCAGGTCTGGGACACCCGACTGTCGGCTCAGCCTCCCCTGTGTGTTAGCAGATCCCTTGGGGCAGACGGGCATTGACAGGACAAGCCTTTTGTGGACAATACTTGGGAAGGAAGGCTCACCCCGTCAGGTACTGATGACTCATTCCTGTCTCCGGGCATGCAGGCTGTGGCAGGGTGACAGAGGGCCAGGCTCAAGGCACCTGCCGCCAGCTCAGACCCAGTGCCTCCTGCCAGCTGGGACTCCCCTCACCCTCTCCAGCGCCCAGGAAGCTGTGGGCGCTTCTAGAGAGCAAGCTTTTCGTGGGAAGGTCTAAATCCCTGCAGCTCAGTGATTCACTAATCACAAAGCCACCACACATTTCACTTGGTGCCGAGCTATTGTCTCTGCATTTTCTTCTCCCAGTGGGTGGGGACAGATGGAAGGCTGCAGTGAATGAACTCCAGCAGCAGACTTCCGCTGATCTCTACGATGTGTTTCTCCCCTAGCTCCGGAAGAAAAGGAGGTCATTAAAGGCCAGTATGGAAAACTCACGGATGCTTATGGCTGCTTGGGGGAGCTCAGGTTAAAATCAGGTAAGTATCATTCAGACGGGCGGCAGCTGGCCAGACGCATGATGCTAGACTTCTGAGGCAAAGGCAGAGCCTCTTGTGTTAGTTTGGACAGACTGCTGGACTTAGGCATTTTATTTTAACCGTTCTGAGCTTTTTCAGTGTTTCTTTATTTTGCTGAGTTGGTCCTCATGCCGGGGAAGTTGAGGTGCGCGCAGCCTTGGGTCTCCCCTGTGTGGGCTGGTGGAGGAGATAGTGCCTTCAGCCCTGGCTGCGAAGGAAGCTCACCTTTATCATCTGCCCCCCAGGACCTGCATTTTACTAAAGCCTGGTTTGGGGGTCCTGCCCAGGGGGTTGTCATTTACAAGGGATCTGCACTCTAGAAGGGGTGGATGTGGGACATGGAAGCCCTGGCACCTGCTGGCACACACCAGGTAGCGGGGCATGAGGGCAAGGCTCGCAGGTTGAGTAGTGGGCCATGCAGTCTGACTTGGAAAGGCAGGGGACTTAAAGGAGCACCTGGGCATCCCTGCTCAGTATGAGACTTGCGGGGCTGAGCCTTCGCCCGGCTGCTGTTATGGGTCGCAGCCTCCCAGTGGGGCCACCACGTCACCTCTGGGCTCCTGGAGGTCACGGGAGCCACTCTTCTGGGTCTGCAGCCACCATTTCCTTCCTCCTCTCTCTGCCACCTATTCTACATTGGCCCCACGCAGTGTCTCCAGTGACTTACAGGGCCAAGACCACAGGACAGGTGACATTTCTTATATGTCCTGCTTGGTCAAAGTGGGAGTGGCTGTAAGTTGACCAAATCCAGGCACCGTGGCTATTCCTGAGCCGAGCTTCACGTCCCCACAGCTGCTGTTTTCATAGACTGAGGATTTTTAAAGCCCACAGAGCAGCACTGTTGTTTGCCATTATTTTTCTGGTTCTTTTCTTTCATGGATGATTTTCCCTGAATTAGGATGATTACATCAGTCATTTCCAAACAGTGTTTAAGGAAAACATTCAGAACCCACATGACAAAATGCATTTATCAAATGTCTGTTTTATGCCAAGGGCTAGATATATATTAATGTATTTAATCCTAAAAATAAGCCAATATGATACTGTATCTTTTTCCCTCCTTTAAAGTAAAGGTAACGGGTTCAGAGGGTTGAAGTGACTTGCCTAAAGTAAGAAGCTTGGCGAGGGTTCACACCCACATCTAGTTGCCTTCAAACACTTACTTTTTCCATGAAAATGTGCTGCTTGCCAAGGGTTTTCTGTGGGATTTCACCCCCTGTGGTGATTTTTCTGTGGATAAAGTCCTGTGGCCCTTGCCTCAGTCGTGATGGTGTGTGGATGACAGCCAGCCTTATGCAGTGTTGACTCTGCCAGACATCCTTTTAAGTATTTTAATTTACTAACTAGGCCCTTCCAACGGTATTAACTGGGCGCTGTTACAATCCTGCTTTACATACAAGGAAAGAGAAGCTCAGAAAACTTCTGTGCTGTATTTTATCTATTCTGTGACTTCTTTTTAATATTGTAACCTCTTTGGCACTCAGGACATGTTACAGTTATAATTGGCAACTTTTTTTTTTACATAAGTTAATGATTACATGGATTAATGATCCATACCTGGACTCAGTGTAGCACCCTAGCTTGCCCAAGGTCAGGCAGTTCTCAGGTGGTGATCTGGGCTTCAAACTCATACCTCTGCCACCAAGGGCTGCTTTCAACCACCAGGCTGTTCTGTCCTGAAAGGGCAGGAAAGCTGACTTCCAAGGTCAGGAAGAGCAGGACCTTTCCCTATGCCAGGGGAAAGCAGTTTCCTGGGCTCTGGTCTGCGGTCAGCTATAAGGAATTGTTCCTAACCAGGAGGGGCAGCAGCCCCCAGAGAGAGATTATCAGAGCTGGCCCGGGTGTCTGCAGGGCATCTGGCCCAGGGCAGGCTTCAGCAGATCAACCCCGGGGCAGGGAGTGTCGTGGGAGGCCACCAGCTCCCAGGGCTGCCCTGGCCAGGCCCTCCTCCCTGCGGCCAGTGCCTCCCCACCTGCCTTCTCCTGAGGAGTGCAGGAACACAGCCTCCAGTGGCTGCTCGAGACCAGTCCCTGGCATGAAGGTCTGTCAGGTCCCCAGCCCCCATTTCCGATGTCCTCTGAACACCCCCAGCCGCACTTGCCAGTCACCCTCCGGATGGGCTGTGAAGGCTGTCTGAGCATGGGGGGCATGAGTTTGAAATTGTGGACGTCAGGATGATTTGGCCTACTTTTTGCCCACTCCTGCACACGTCCTGGGAGATCTGAAGGACGGAAGGATTGGGGCTTACCATCAAGTTTTCAAATCCCCTTTGGTTCCCCAAAGGAGTGTTTGGCTTTGACTTGATTTTCCTTTCCCCTGCAAATCCCCAGCCCTGTGCTATGATCAGTTTTCTTCTCGCCTGCGGAGCGTGTTGGGAAGCACAGAGCAAAATCCCAACGTTCAGTTGCCGTGAAGATGACCAGCCTGGGTGGGGGATGGACCTCCCTTGACTTTTTGAGGCTAAGGGTCTCTGTACAAAGAGACTTTCCTTGGGCTCCTAACTTGGGGCAAGTTGGTCCATTTCAAACTTGTCAACTGAAAATAAAGTTTTATGTTAGAAATTAAGAAACATGCACAAATATTGCATAAAAGCTTTATCCTAGATTCCTAGGTTTTCATGGAGAGCCCCAAATCCCTCCTACCTCCTGAAATGCTAGCAGGAAGAGGGCGGAGTCCCCACAATTAGCCAGGGAGTTGGCCTTCCTGATGTATACACAATACAAAGCATAGAAGGTGAGAGGCTCGCAGTAAAAAGAATTTATCCCCAATGATTATAGGGATTTAACTCCCTTTTAACCTAAGGTCTCAAGGCCTCCCTGCTTCATAGCCTCAAGGGTTGAATAAATTGAGGTCTGCAATGAATTCTGTATCCTCTAGTTGTGCAGTGCACAGCCTGGGAGCTGTACATGACAGCCCTATAAACTTTCCACCAGACGGCCCTCCTAGATCCTAGATCCTCCTGGACCCTTCAGCTTCTCAGCACCCTGACCTGCATTCACTTAATCTCTCTAGGACTGTTTTCCCACCTGTAAAACCAGGAAAACGGCCTCATCTCTCTTTTACATAATACTTAAGAGATTCACATCAGAAAATGAATCATGGTGCTGGACATGGGTACTGGGTGGGAGGGGGCTGGCCTGCAGAGGGGACCCTCTGGGAGAACTAGGCACGTGCAGGGGAAAGCTCAGGCTGGATGCCTTCGGGTCACTGACTCCTGCCTGGGCTAGCTGTGCGCTGTTCTGAGGACACTGGCTACACAAGGAAAAGTCTCTGGAGAGGGCAGCCTTACATTATTAAGTGTTTTGCGATTCAGGACAGGCAGTGATATCTAGCAAGTCTTGAAATGGAATGGCTTCCATCAGTCTTAGAATAATTTATTTTTACTCCTATACCCAATGGTGCACTGGTAAATATTTGCCACTCAGCTCTCCATGGGGAAAAGCCCTAATATACAGTGTTTGCCAATTTCCATAGTACAAATACACCAACCCTGGCTGATTTCTGGCTGCTGATGCAGAGTTGGGAAAAGATGTGTACAGTGGGCTGGCTCTCAGGAGCTGGGGTGGGCTGCCAGCGTGCTGCTGTCTGCACCACGTCCATGTGCCAGGAAAGGAAGGTGAAGAGGTGCCCAAGCCACGTGGACACAGTATTTAGAATTCTCAGCTTGTTGATGTTGGGGGAGCACCTCAGGGATCTCTGGGCAAAGCTCCTCACTTCAGGGTGGAAAGCACAGAGCTCCTAAGTCCTTTGTTCATAGATTTAAGTGTGAGAGTATCCTGTCTGAGCAGAAGGATAAGATGCCCTGTGGGCACTGCAGGGTTGAGATGGGTACAAACCTGGCCTGGGGGAGAACTCAAGGTTGAGCAAACACAGAAATGCTGGTGCAGGGGAAGCAGGAGGCCCAGCAGCCAGAACACACCCAGCATTGTCCCTGAATACATGGCATTGTGTCTGTGTGACTCACTGCGATTCCAGTGCCAGGCCTCCCCGGCCAGATGACAAATGGCCACAGGGGGATAAGACGGAGACCCTGTGACTGCGGAGACAGCAGGCATGGCAATGGCGGGTGTGATGCGCACTTGGGTTTGGAAGGCAGCCCTTTTGAGGGAGAGAATTTCTAAGTTGACATTGAGGTTTCAGAGTTTTTGTTTTTTTAAAAACTACAGAAGATAAAATTTACCATCTTAACCAGTTTTAAGTGTGTGGTTCAGTGGCATTAAAGACACTCACTGTCAGGCAACCGTCACTACCATCTGTCTTCAGAATGTTTTTCATCCTCCCAAAGTGAAACCCTGTACCCACTAATATATTGAGGTGGTTATGTTCCATTTCTCTACTCTGCTTGTTCAGGCTGCAGGAGGAATTGTCCAGGAATTTTCTGGACCGGGAGCCTCCTGTGTATTGTCCAGGAATTGTCTGGACCGGGAGCCCCTGTGCAGGGTTGTGTGTATGTGTGTGTGCACGTATGTCTCTATACCTGTGTGCATGTGCACGTGTGTGTGTCCCCGTCTAGTTCTCGTATGTCTTTTGGCCCGTGACCTATTGCTTGCCCTCGCCGTCAGCTCGCCTGCTTGGCCACAGCCTCTAGCCAGGGCCTGGTCTGACTTTGGCCAGAGCCCTGGATCCAGAGTGTTCAAGCTGGAAGGGACATGGATCCCACCTGGTGCGCTCTCCTCTGAGGCCCAGAGAGGGTAGGACAGTTACCTGAGGCCCATAGGCCATTGGAGGTGTGCAGAGCTGAGAGCTCCCTCTCCTGAGGCCGAGGCAAGTTGGAGTTCTGTCTTCCCTTGCTACAAGATCCTTACTGGGTTCAAGTCCCTGGGTCCACCCTCAACTAACAACTTCTGAGACCCTCCCTAGGCCTGGTTTACTTCTGGGCTGTGAGGAAACTGGTCCTGCTGTACGGAAAACAAAGTCTGTATCCTGTGGTCAGGGTGAGCACCAGAGGGGACCTCGCACCTGGGGCAGGCCGGTCCCACCACCTCGCTTCTCTCCCCTGCACACCTTTGCTGTGGGGATCTTGGGGCCAACACCACCCTGACAGATTGGCCAGGGGGACAGTGACCCCTCTCACAGCCTGGTGCTAGGCTTGAACTAGGACCCTGTCTTTAAAACCTGTAGCATGTGTAGAACACATGAGGGGGTTAAAACTGGGTGGACAGGATCATGTGGTCCTGGAGTAGCAAGAAGCCACGTGCTGAGCAGAGTAGGGCCGTGTGGACCCCTCCTAAGGAGGCCATGGCCTAATGCAGGTCTTTGGGGTCCCCAAGGTCCTCAGTGCTGTCCCACAGTCGGTTTCCTTAAGAACGGGCCTGTGACAAGGGGCCAGTTTCTCTTTCTCTTCGCCCCCCCTACAGTCACCCTTCCCCCACCTCCCCTTTCTCCCATCCAGGATCTTACACTGGTGTGTTGCTCCAGGAAATAAATACCTCTAGGATGCCAAACAAAGGGACAATTAAAATATTGTCAGGAGTGTCCATGAAGTAAGTCTCCTCAGTGACTAGGTAACAAATTTATTTGTAAGTCAGGTGATACCCAGCTATTTGCTTTCTATAAAATTGAGGGAGACCTTGCCTGGGGTATACGCTCACAGCATTAACAATAATTCTGTGGATAGATCATTGTGATTTGTTTTGCAAGTAACTCAGAAGAACGGTGAAGAAAAATGGTCATTTCTATAATGAAGCTCATTCTATTCCCATCTATGAATGTGAACAAGGTTTCTTGGTGTTTACATTCATCAAAATGAAAATAGAACTAGAGTTGGTATAGAATCTAGTTTCATTCCACCAATAAATAATTTTTAGCCATGATATATGAACTAGAAGTCCCATCTATTTCGTTAAGAAATGCCTTTCCATCAGATCTTTACTTTTTATGTTAAATGATTATTTAGCAAAAATGTTTTCTTTACATTGACCAGTTACATAAGAAAAATCATTGCAGTGCTAACTCAAACCGAAGAGACTCTTTTTAAACACTGAACTTTGAAATCAGATTGCTGCACAGGATGAGAGGGTGATCAGTACAAGACATGGAAACAAGTTATGTTACAGTGGGATGAGAGTATGTGGAGAAAGTGGAGTGGAAATATGAGTAAAAATCCCATCTGTTATTAAAGAACTTGTTCATGGATTCCTTTAAATAATAGATGGTGATGAGTATCAAATCACTGTCTAGATTCCTTTGGATACTGGTAAAGAAACCTATCACAGTTTTATTTTACATGTCAATATTTAGCATATGCTGGAAAATGTATTATTCAGAACCATTTAAATTAGATGAAAACATTTGGTATCAGTTTAAAAATGAGCAAGGGATATATTGGTCAGCCACACCCTCTGCAAGACAGCAAGCCAAATTTTGATTGAAGGCTGCTGGGCCAAAGGACCGACAGAGCCTTGCCAGGAAGAGACCCGTGTTTGCATCTTGGGTCCACATCAGACTAGCTGTGCACTTGGGCAGATGAGTCAGCTCCCCTGGGGAACAGTCCTTTGTATAGAATGGCAGTGTTATTAAGCAAGTTGGCAAGGATATAGTTAAGAGCACCAGCTCTGGACCCAGGTGTGGCTGGAGTTCTTGCCCAGCTGGTATAGCTAAAAAGTGGATTCATATCCCCAGCTCCTGCAGTGTCTCCTTGGGCAGGCTGCTTAGCTTCTCTCTACCTCCATCTCCCTTCCTATAAAATGGGGCTAAAAATGGTACTTCCCCACAGAGTTGTTGAAAGTTTGTGGACCACTGCCTGGTGCCCAGTGAGCTCTGCCCTGAGGACTGGCTGTCATTAATGTGCCTGGTTCCAACGCACTCCTACGTGGTGGCTTGTATTCACCTGTATTTTCTCCTGAGCCCCTCATTCCAGGAGCCCAAATTCTCATTTATTTAAGAGCCTTTTCACGTCTGCTGCAGCACGCGCATCCCGAGCCTCCCCCGGGCTGCTGCCCTGCACAGCAAATGCCGACTGTCTTCAAAGCAGCCTGGGCCTCCTGCCAGGGACTTGGTCGCCCCACGCAGAGGCTGTTGAGGAAGCCGTGCTAGAAATCAGCTTCACAACTCGGGTAGAGAGCTTAAAGTAAAATTTTCCATGCCTCTCCCAGATCGCACTGGCTAGAATCCAGGCCTGGCTCTCAGACCAGGCCACGGGCCATCCGGGCCACTGCTCTGACCTTTCCGAATGGGGCTTCCCTGCCCTGAGCCCATCAGAAGATGCAGGTGGGATTCTGGGCCTTGGGTCTCCCCAGGGTGTGGGGGTATTTGCATTCATGAGGCTGTAATTCGAGGACATCAACCCACATAAACCCCGCCTATCTTCCAGAAGTGACACTTGCCCTACCTAAGGCACTCTGCCCCTGCCACCTGTCACTCCCACTGCATAATGCCCTCTTCTTAGGTTGTTGTAAAGTAGGTCCCAGTGATCTGACTGGGGAGGTGGGATACGAGCCCCTGTAGCTGCTCTGATGGCCCCCTGCCCTCCGTAGGCCTGGTACAAGTGGTGGCCTATTTATTGAATGAAGTCATTTTGCAAGAAACCAGAGGTCACCTGCCCTGGCAGGTGTGAGGAGGGTGGTGGGCAGTGGAAGTGGTGTTCTTGAGGGTCTTTTATCAGAGTGTCCAGAGGTCTAAGAACGCAGGCTGCCATGGCTCCAGATACTGACCACTGACCATTGGAGTAGATCTGGCTGGGAACATGTCTTTAACCTCAGCAGGTAGAAAGAGTGTCCTCTGGACCAGAGCTGTGCCAGCCCCTGAAGGCCTCACCCAAGGCAGTCTCCTGGGCCCTCTCCTGACGTAGAGGACGCAGGGCGCCATCCCACTGTCCCCAGAGCAGAGCATTGCCATGCGCCCCAGACGCACTTGGCATGGGTTTGTCAGCACTTTTGTGCACCAGAGCCTGCTGCGCAGTGGGGGTGCAGCCAGCGCGTTGAGGTCCCTGTAGAGGGGTGTCTCGTTCTCCTGGCAGCGGGCTCATGGTGGTTTGGGCGACCCCTCCCTGGAGGCGCGAAGGTCTTGAGCTGCTCTCTCATGGGCTTATTTAGGAAGTATTCATCCAACACTCACCGTGTACAGAGGGGGATATAACAGAAAGAGCCTGGCCCCTAAGGATGCTTTGATCTACGGGGCACTTGGGTGGGGAAGGAGGTCGTTAGCCTGCTAACAGGGATGCTGTAGGCCTCAAGAGTGGGCACCTAACAGTTCTGGGAGAGCAGGGAAGTCTCCTTGGACAAGGTGCTGCCAACTTGACCCCTGAAGGCTGGAGAGGAGTTCTGGACAAGGGGCAGAGGCAGGCTGGTCCTGAGCACCCTGGAAGGCTCGTGCTGTTCCAGATGGAGGAGGAGCTGGGCAGGCAGTGGTGGGATCTGGGGAAGAGGCAGTAGTTTGGGCAAAGGCCCAGACGTGTGAAGGCACAGGGTACTTTGAGGAGCTACAGAGGACCTGTGAGAGGTCTCTGTTAGGAGGGCCTGGGAGGCCACCGCAGTGACAGCTTGCAGGGCTGAGCCCGGCTGGGACCCTGAGCCAGGCTGCAGGGAGGATTCTTGGGGACCGTAGCCTGGAGAGGCTTTCGTGGCAGACCCAGGGAGAGGTGTGGGGTGGGAAGGCTCCAGGCCACTGACCCTCCGGGTCTGGTGGCTGCAAACCTCCCGGGGGATTGTTGAGGCGGATTGTGGGCCCCACACCCAGAGCTCTGGACGGACAGAGAGCTGCATTTCTCACGGGCTGCCAGGGGGCGCTGCTGTGGGCAGGCAGTGGGGATTGAGTTTGGGGGTGGGAGGTCCCGGGGCTGTGAGAAGTGAGCTGGAGGCCTGGCGGTCGCCCCTGAGCCCTGCGCTGTCCACACCCTGCGTCCCTGTGAGCTCTTCTGCAGCATGCGACAGATCTAAGCCTTCCTGTCTGATTCTCTTGCAGGTGGCGCGTCCCTGAGCTTCCTGGTTTTGGTGACCGGCTGTGTGTCTGTGGGCAGAATCCCAGAGGCAGAAATCTACAAAATCACTGCCACAGATTTTTACCCCCTTCAGGAGGAGGCCAAGGAGGAGGACCGCCTTGCAGCCCTGCGGAAAATCCTCTCCTCGGGGGTCTTCTACTTCTCATGGCCCAACGAAGGATCTCACTTTGACCTCACCGTCCGGGCGCAGAAGCAGGGTGATGACAGTTACGAATGGGGGAGCTCCTTCTTTTGGTGAGGGCACAGGGCCCTGCGGCTCCTCCCCGGATCACATGGAGGGTGGCTCTGATTGGCAACTGCGTCCTTGACCTCTGCTTTGCATGGTGCCCAGAGCCCTGGGTTACCTCTGAAGCTTTGGTCCTTGCTCTCAGTGCAAAGAGAAGAAAACTGCCCCAATGTTCCCCATCCCTGGGATCAGGGAAGGTGTTCAGAGTGGTCTAATGTACATTAGTAAACGAAATCTGCCCCATAAATAAAGAGTGTAAGAGCCAACATGCACCAGGTGCTGTCTAAGGGCTGGGCCCGTGCTCAGCACTGCTGTGCTTCGCTCAGCAAGCCTGGTTACTCCCCGGTGCACAGGCATTGACTGCTGACATTTATAAAGCACTCATGCTCTGGGCATTGTTCTAGTTCTCTGTGGATAATAACAATCCTCATAGGAATCTAGGAGGGAGGATCTATTATCCCCGTTTTACAGGAGACGGAGGCTTGAACAAGCGAGGGAATTTGAACCCAGGCATCGTGGCTCCAGATCCCGTGCTGTTAGTCACAAAGCCAAACCGCCCAACAGTGGAGAAGCAATCCTGCCAAAGTGACATGCAGCAGGGTGCTAGGACATGTCTCAAAGCCCAGATGGAGGCGGCTGGATGTCTGTGAGTTTAGGGCCAGTTGGGGTCCTCCTGCACAGCCAGCCAGGTGTGGATGACCCTATAAGTATGTAACTTACCTGTTGCCCTTTCTGGGGCCTGGGGGTCATGACCCTGACAGTCTTGTGAGAAGGGCACAGCGAGTTATGTGTGGTGGTGTCCAGGGATGCTGTTCGCCTCAGATTTTCCAGATGTGTGAGAAGTGCTTCAAAAGCAAAAGTGGTGAAAATCCTGCTGTAGAAACTCCTACTGCACCTCATGGACTGGGATGTTCTTAGGGCTACCTTTTGGGGCTACGCCAGTTCCCCAGCCCGAAGACAGGGTTGGGAGGTGGGCTTATGCCCTTTATACATGGCTCCTTCCCATTGCCCAGTCAGAGGACAGCATAGTCTCCACTGGGTAAGTGTTCTTCCTCGCTGCTTTGGAGCCCCCAAGGGAATTCCTGACTTCTGTCTGGAGAAAGGTGGCCTCACCATATCCTTGGTGTGTCCTGGCGCTCTCCACCCCCAGCTCCTCTTAGGTCCTCAGGTTTTGTTGAGCTTTAGGGGACGTAATGTGCTCGAACTTTAAAACGCAAGTGAACTGCCAGCCAGTCTTGTTAAAATGTGGGTTCTGATTCAACAGGTCCAGGCTGGGGCCTGAGACAGCGTTTCTAGCAAGGTGATGATGGTATGATCTACGCTGCTCGTGTGAGGACCACACTCTGAGTACCAGGTCCAGGTGGTGGTGGTCTGTGAATCCTCTTTGCAGGGACCAGCTGGTGCATGTGCCCTGAAGGCAGCCAGGCTTAGCAGTGCCGGGGCCGTGGGTTATGGGGGTGTTTGTGTAAAGCCACGGAGCCATTTCAGCCAGTATGGTCGGGTGAGCGGATGTGCTGTGTCAGAGGCTGTGACATTCCTTGGAAGCATCCTAGGACTCCAGGAGATGCCTGCAAGTCTGGACGGCCCCCCACCACTGTAACTGCCTTGCTCAAGCCTCCTTCTGCCAGCAATGTGGTGGAGATCCGAGGCACACAAACCCCAGGAAGACAAAGTGTAGATTTGTGAAGAAGAGGCTGCAAGGGGCTTGGGAAGGGGGCACTCCAAGTGGACACAGCCACTATGCTAGTTGAGATGTGGCGGCCACGCTGGAGGGTGCCAGACGGCCGGGCTGGACCACACTCCAGGGCGTAGTGTTTGGGCTCAGGGCGGTACCCACAGAACTAACCACAGTTGAGTCAGCCCTGGCTGAGCGGTCATGGGCTTGACTGCCTCCACACTCCATTTGGGGTGCTTGCGTTCCAGGTCTGGACCCACATCTGGAGTCACCTGGGGCTGACACTGCATGTGGCTGGTGGTTGGAGGAGCGTGTTGAGCAGGAGAAATCACTTTTCTGGGCTGATTGTTGACCCCACCGGTAATCGCTACCAGTATGATCAAGGCCTGGGAGGAAGCTCCGAGCTGTTTTCCTTTATAGCTCGGGGTCTCTTCCTCTGAGGATTCAGGGTCCTCCCACAGAGGGTCAGGCCAGTGTGACTACAAGCAGGGACTACTCAGAGTTGTCCATTTGGCAGGAGGCTCCCCCTCCTGACCCTTGGTGTCTAATGGCAGCTGTAGCTGGCTAGCTGGAAGACTCCAATTTTCTGGAGGCTTTGCTTTGATGCCATGTTCAGATTTAATGCATTTGTTACTAGAGCTGGTTTATCATCTGTGTTTTAGAGAGTGATTCAGCAGAGGGAATTATGTTTTTGTAAAGTAGTGTTTTATGATTGCATTTTTCGGGCAGTGCTGTGGCTGAGAGGTCAGAAGCGCCCTGCCCTGTGGCCAGTCCTCGAGGGGGTGTCTCAGCGCCTGACCGAAGGGGGAGCCCAGCCTAAGAGCTGGGAGTGGCTGCTGCTTGCCGCTTAGGAAAGCCACCTGTGATGTCTGAGCTCACAGCACGCTTCTTCAGAAGTGAGAGAATGCCATCTTTGAGGAAGGCTTACTGGCAGGGATAGTGCCGCCTTTTTTAAACAAATAGGGCACTGTGATCTAGATTTGCTTAATACCCTGGAAGAGAGTCTCCCATGAGGGTTCCTGCCTCCCTGGAGTGTGGTAGGGCCTCAGAACCGCCCTGCTCAGGTGCCCTGGGCACACGTCTGTGCAGCCCGGCAGCAGCCCACCATGTCCGGGTGCCCATGCAGCCCCTGCTCTGGGGCCTCGCTTCTCAGAGCAGCCGCTGGCTCTGCTCGGTAAGCTGGGTGGGTGTGGGGGAGGCTGAGCAAGGGGGAGTTGAGAGAAGGATGTGGCCGGGCACGGAGGCTGCTGGAACTGCAGGCCGTCATCAGGAGAGGCGTGAGTGAGGAGCAGAGGCTCAGTGACCTTGGGCAAGGGCTTCCCTTTCTGTGACTCGGTTTCTTTATCCATAAAGTGGAGTGAATAGTAATACCTTTCCCACAGTGTCGTTTTGAGGACGAAATGCGTTGCCTGGAGTGTTGCTTGGTGCATTTGATAAACAGCAGCTGTTACCCCACAGTTAACATGGACACAGGAGTTCTCCGGAGCCCAATCCACCAGGCATAGGTGATCCTGAAACTTGGGTTGTTTTATTTTCCTTACTTGGATTACTGTGTAGTGCTGTCATATTCACCTCATGGGATATGTATATCATTTAAGCATGCATATATTTAATATGAATCCTTTTACCACTTACCATCACATAATTATTTGTGATTGTAATCACAAGCATGATGAAATTTTTTACTGATGGGTCTTACGATTTAAAAATATGGAGACCACGGGTCTGAACAGAGGCTCTTCTGAAATTCCCTGAAAGGTGTATGGTTGGCTCGTGCTCCTGCTGGGCTGCACAGGCTGAGGGTGCTGGGGGTTTGGGGAAAGGACTCCACCCTAGCAGCTGCCCGGGGCCCTGCTGTTCAGAGTCTCACGACGCTCGAGAACGTCCCGAGCTACATGTTCCCAGTGCCGAGTTTCCAGAAGCTGTGCTCATTCACCTCATCCAGGGAGGGAATGTGGGCCCACAGGTGCCCCGTGCCTGCTTGTTTTGGGTGCAGGGTTTCCGGGAGGATATGAGGTGATCTGAATTGCTCTGTTCTGCAGGAACCAGCTGCTGCATGTGCCCCTGAGGCAACACCAGGTGAGCTGCTGTGACTGGCTACTGAAGGTCATCTGCGGGGTGGTGGCCATCCGCACAGTGTACGCCTCACACAAGCAGGCCAAGGCCTGCCTCATCTCTCGCATCAGCTGCGAGCGCGCTGGTGCTCGCTTCTACACCCGAGGCGTGAACGACGATGGTCACGTGTCCAACTTTGTGGAGACAGAGCAGGTCAGTGCTCGGTTGGGCCGTGTACTCCCGTGGTTCAGGGTGGATGCAGCCATGCAAATGTGTTTCCATTTGGGGCAGAAGAGACCCAGACTTACCTGGGGCAGTTTCTGGTGAGCATGGCTCCTGACTCTCATTGCAGAATGGAATGAGTAACTGGGGCTCTGGCCTGCAATGTGGCCTCTGATTTGCATGGTGTATCTCTTGTGGTTCGCTTCTCACGCTGGGAAAATACTGCTGACCAGAGAGGTATTTCCAACTAGAAGGAAGCTGGAATTTATGCTGTGATCTGAAAGGGTGGTAGTGATTTAAAGAGCAGCTGATGGATGAACCAGCACGGTTTGAAGATCTTTTTAAAGCAAAAGTAAGTAGATCAATAAGGGAAGGATGAGAGAAGAAACAGTTACTTTTATTCTCAACTGAAGCTTCATCCTAGGAGCAAGGCTTAGCACCTGGCGGTTGTGGAATCTGCCAGTTACACGGCAGTTGCTTTCAGTGTCCATGGAATAGAACCATCTGCCTCATTTCTCATTGATTTTTTTTTTCTTCTGTTCTTATTCCCAGAGATGCTGTCTTACAGTGTTTTTTTATTTTTTTTGTCTAACTTGTCATCTGTTGATAATGCCACCATGTAGATGAACAGGTGGAATAAATGATAAGCAAGGCGAGCCCCTCGCAAGGCCCCAGGTGCACACTCGCTGCCGAGTCAAGCTGCAAACAGCCTGTGATTATCGAGGGCCCATGTGGCTTGCGTCCCCTCCTTACACTGGCGCTGTGTGTGAGAGGCGTTTCCCGGCAGGACTCTAGCCCCTTTAGCACAGATTTAAGTGCCTGCCCGCGGTGTGTGAGCCGCCCCATGCTGGGGCTTTCAGAGGCACAAAGGTGCGAGTCTGCGTGGAGTCCAGCGCTGGAACAGGAACTGAAGGTGAGCAGCAGGGCAGTTGCCTGCCCACGACTTCTGCTCACACTGTCCGCTTTCCAGGATATTGATGAAGCTGGTAAATACGTATCTGTTTAAAAATAATAGAGAAGATGTGGCCCCAAATGGAAGCTGGTTTTCTTTTTTTTTTCTGCATGACAGAAATTACTCCCTTTTGTTCTCATGGCCACTTTCCTTCCCAACTTTCATGCTTACAATATTAGCTTTCAAATCATTCAGTTCATGCAACAAATCTTTATATTTTACTTGTCTGTCAAGGGTTGGGTGCTGTGCTGGGAACTAGGGGCCAAAGGTGCCAAGGATTTTTCTACAAATCAAAATACCAAAGGCCATGGGTGATAATGGGGCCTGACTTGGGGGGTCTTCACTGGGCAGCCAGAGTGAGGCCTTTGCCCCTTCTCCATCCAGCCCGGGGCAGATAGAGCCTCATTCGGACCTCTTGTTTGGTGCTCCCCAGCTCCTTGGATTTCAACTAGTTTTTTAAAAGTTGAGATTTCGTCTCGTGTGTCTTATCAAGCACATCACTGGAAATCAACTGCCCTCCACATCACCGTTCCTAGGAGACAGGACATTATAGTGCTGGAAACGTAAGACATGGGAAGTAGCCACCTTGGGCTGCTGTAACGAAGTAGCACAAAGGGTGTGACTTAAAACAGCTGAAACACACTGTCTCACAGTGCCAGACGTCCAAAACGATAGTGTGGCCAGGGCTGTGCTGTCCCTGGAGTCCACCTCATTGCCACGTGGCGTCCAATGACTGGGGTAGGGGTCCACCCTACATCTTAACTAATAGCATCTGCAGTGACCCCCACCCCAGACATCTTCACATTGCTAGGTGCTGGGGGTTAGACTTCGACATATCTTTTTTGGGGACACAATTCAGCCTATAACCAGGACATGATCTGATGTTCAAGTAAAGTAAAACTCAGTGTTACCTGCTTTAGGTGGAGTGTGTTGAGCTTCACGGAAAAGCACCCTCTTATCTTTCCCTTTTCTCAGTTCACTGCAGATGAGCGTCGGGCCTGCGCTCCAGCTCTCATACTGCACGCGCCCACTTGTGTCTGTCTCCTGGGTGCCCAGGTCACTTGCTTGGGCTCAGAGGCAGGGACCTCGTCCCCTGCTTCACCTGCCCCTCTAAGGCCAGCCCCGCAGGGCTGCAGAGACACCATGGGGCTGCCCTTCCAGCTCTGGGGCCTGCAGCCTTGTGCCACGTAAACAGCCTCTGCCCACCTCCCTTATCGGGAGGGGCTTCTTGCCTCCCCTGCCTTCTTGGTCTTCCTCGTTCGTGTTTTCCCTCCCTGTTCTCTGGGGTCTTGGTCAGATAGTGCTGCTCTCTCCATGAGCCCTTGCCCCTACCTTGCTCCGGGACATCCTCTGTCTGATGTCCACCCAGAGACGGCCAAGGACGGCAAACAAGGCTCCCACTGGGGACCAGCTGGTGGCAACTTGGCCCCTTGGTGATTCTGTCTTCCACAGACAGTAACAAGGCAGGAGGGCCATGGTATTGCACCCGAAGCTCTTCTTTGCAGGGCAAATACATTTCAGGCTACTTCCAAAGGGTCATGTGCTCTCTGCCAAGGGAGGTGGAGCCCAGCATGGTTCCCGCCATCAGAGAGCCCCCAGACGGAGTGACCCCCACGGTGTGCTGAGAGCGGGGTAGGGGTCAGCCCCAAAGCTGATTTCAGGGGTGCCCTCATTGACAACATGGAGGCAAACGCTGAACCCCCGAGCTGAGTTCGACTGTGAGCCTGCTGGATGGGGAAGCAGCAGGAACGACACAGATGAGCTGTCCGTCCAGACACGTGACTTCAGTCTCCTAAGGGTGCTTCCCATGGCCAGGGCTGTGGTACTCCTGCCTGGAGAGAGGGAAAGAGGGAGACAGGCAAGACAGCAGAGCAGGTGAGGGCAGGGGGAGGCCTGTGGGGAGAGGGCCCTGGGGTGGGGGGAAGCTGACGTCACGGAGGAAGAGGAGGCAGCCAAGGAGAGCAGTGAGGGCGTGGTTCGTCTTCGGGCCGCGTCCTGCTGGGGGACGCCCTGATGGTGAAGGGGAGGGACACCAAACTGTGCTGCTCCTGTTTGTACAAAAGCCATTTGCTCTCTGTCCCTGGAATCATGGGGTGGTTTTAAGGCACCTTGTAGCTAATCTAAGTTTTTTTTTCATCACAAAATTCTTTTTCTAAGTGAAATATGGCATTTGTACTTATCAAAGTTCCTACCAAATGGAAACTGCGCCTTGCTCCCCTCCTGAAGCCGCTGGTGGCGTCCTTCCAAGCCAGGGATGGAGCGGGGCCTGGAGAGCGCTTGCTGGGCTCAGGGGAGGGTGGACGCACGGTGAGCATGGTAGAACCTGCCATCTAGGACAGCGGTAATGGGATGGGACCCCAGAGGAGTCGCTCCCGGAGCCTAGCGTGTCCTGCTCCCTCGAGTTTGCAGATCCATGATTGTGAGGCTCCGGGTCAGAGTGACGTCATGGGGCCAAGCATGTCCTTGACATGCAGTCCTGGTGGCTGTGCTTATTGTAAAACAGCAGATTGTGCATTGAATCCCAAGGCCTTCAGGTGAAAGTGGCTCAGTAGGCAGAGTGGGTTTTTTTCTCTTAGGTGGCAGGGCGGTGCTTGCTCTGTGACCTGATTTGAAGAAATGGCAGCCTTTGAAACTCAGTCTCCTCACCCAAGGGTGGCAGGCGACATCTTTGAGGACATTCGTGCTAAGTGCATAGCCGGAAGGGCTTCAGTGGGGCAGCTGGGCCCTCTCGGTGGTTGCTGGTGGGGCACCCATGGCCTGGCACCTGTTGTGTAAATGAGACTCAGCCCCAGCCTTTAGCCATTTGGGAGTAAGCCCTTTAGTAATGCATGACGGTGGCTGACAAATGATGGGACCAGACAGAGCAGCTGGTTCCCTGATGTGGGGACTCCTGGGAGGCAGCTGGGCTTCCCCGACTTATATGCTCAGGGAGCCAGACAATGGAGGGCTTTCAGTGCCGCCCACTCTGCTTAAAGTCCTCCATAAGAGGAGTGAATGGTCTGTCTTCCTCATCCTTTCTACATGTGTGCACATGCGTGTGTGTGTGTGTAGGGGGTGCTTTGTGCACACATGTGCATTTGCATATGTGGTTTATGCATTTGCATTTGTTGTGCAGGTTCAGGTGTGCGTCCGTGTACATGGCACCTCAGTCCCTCTGGAAGCCTCGAGTCCTTTGGGCTCTGCCGTGAGTCGCACCTGGGAGGCTTGCTCTGCATCTGTGACTCACCACACAGATAAACAAAACCAAACAAGTCCCCTTGGTCTACCAAAAGGAAAACAAAAAGATAAAAGATATCTATTTGGCTATTGAAGAGAAGGCCACTGATTGGTCCAGGAGGTTAGGATGACTGGGTGACCCCCAAGAATGCAGACCTGGAAAGAATTGGTTTGCAAACATCTCAACTGCAAATAGAAGTTCAACAAAAAACCTTGTAGATGAAAATGTACCTACACAAGGCATTGTCCCTTTCTCTTTATGGTCATTGGGCTTCTGTCCCCACCACTCTGCAAAAGGACCCTCAGAACTGCCAAGCCCGGGGCCCCCAGGCCAAACCCGGCCTCAGGGCGGTGGGCTCCCTCCTCTTGTCTGCTCTGCCCTAGATTCCCTCTCTCTGGCCTGAGCTGCTTGGGTGTCCCGAGCCCCACCCAGTCCCTCTCCACAGGGGCCTCGCCCACACTCCCAGGCAGCGCTGGCCCGGCCTGAAGACAAGGGGCCAGTGCCCCACACCGGGACCTGCTCCCTCCTGGCCCCTCATGTACTCCTTCTCTGTGACCAAGTGACAGTGATCCTGTTGGCAGAGAGGGGAACTGAGTCTGGGAGTGGTGAAGGCACCTACGCAGGGTCAGCCTGCTGGGCATTTTGGGAGTTGGCAAAGTGGCTGTCGGACCCAGGTTTTTGGGGGGGGGGTCCCAGAGCCCACATGCCAATTTGCTGCCACTCCACCTCCCCCAGGGATCAGGTGCCCTGCCCTCAGCTAAAACTACATCCGTGAGGTGAGATGAGAATCTCCTACTCGTGTTCAAACCTATTCAGCCCAGAAAGGAAAGCATGTAAATCCAGCTCTAGCGTTTGATGGTCAGGTTTGTCCTGTCACTTCAGGAACAAGGAAGGTGGCCCTGATGCTAGACTGGGACGCAGAACTGGAATATATCTTATGGGAGGGAAGAGTGGAGAAATGTGGAGGCATCTTTTCTTCTTGGCCCAGGATCGGGCCCGGAGCGCTGAGGCTCCCGGTCAGTGTTTCCTGAGGCTGGTTCTGCAAGTCCCAGCTCAAGAGGAGCACGGTCTAGAGCTGGAGGTAGCACTGTTCACCTGTGTTAATTAAAAGGATGAATAATTGTTCCTTAGCTTAAATCAGATCCTGGGCACTGGGTTGTCAGTGTAGAGAAGTGTTGGCTGAGCTGGTTTCTTTCTGAGCAATCTGGACTAGTGCAGGTCACCTGCTGCTCAGCTGTGTGCACTTGATCTCACTGCAGCCAGGTGCTTTAAACAATCTGCTGTCTTCTGTCTTTGTCAGTAGAATAAAGAGGGTAACGCATTTGCTGATAGTCACTATCAAAGCAGAAAACAAGTTCTTAACCCAGTGCTTTTTCTCTTTGGAGATTAAGGGATAGAATTCCAGCCCAGCAATACAGCTACCAGGCTTGTGTAATTCCTGCAGGAAACCTGTAGGTCTCAGGTTCAGGTCCTCCACTGAAGAATTACTAATGCATGTGTGATCTGAGCATGATCTAGCCACATGGAAAGCTACCCTGTAAGGGAGCAGGCTGGTGAGAAATGGAAAGGACTAGCACCCTTGCCCAGGCCAGCCCTGCCAGGCCAGGGTAGAGTTACTCAGATAAAGGACGGTGCACCTAGTAACTGCCACAGTCTCCCCCTTGTGATGCTCACGACTGTACTTTTTTGTCCTGTTAAAATCCCTTGTGCCACTATGTCGGTGGGAGACTGCAAGCAGATGAGGACTTGGCACACTGACATAACTGTAGGGGTGGTGGCCTGGGGTGGGGGGTAGAGATACAGCTTTTAATGTGTGGGTATCATCTGTTTCTATGCAGGTGCAAACATACCAGATGTTTGTGCAAGCTGTGTTGTGCATGTTGACATAATGGCACATTTCAGAACACAGTGGCATGAGGCCAGGCCCAGCTACAAGTTCAAGTCGAGTCTTGACTTGTGTTCTCAAGTATAGGAATGACTGTGTGGTCAGCTGGACCTTTGGCCACAGCTGGTTCATTTCATTTCATTCAATCCTCCTCCAGTCGCTCTCTGCTACTTAGCTATTTGACAAGGTGGAAATAGAGGGTTCTAAGGAAGGTCTTAGCTAAATCCCAGTGCACATTTGCTTCTGTTCCTAAAGTCGGGTGAGGGTGGTGGGTCGCATTGCTGGGCTTTTAATGGGTAAGGTTGTAAATTCTCCACTGGCTGCAGCAGACCTGGGAGGCCCTGGGCCCACTGCAGACTCCCTGGCTGGTGGGTCACAGCCAGCCTGCCTGTGAGTGTGCTGGCCCGGCCTGTGGGTCAGGGGGCCGAGCTGCCAGCCGGGAGAGGGCAGAGGACGCTGGAGTCCGCTGTCTGCCCTTCATTCGGGCTGGTGTCAGGTCTCAGGCGGCCGGATCCCGTTACCCGGCCTCAGGACATTCAGTTTCATTGAAGAATACCTTTCCCTTTATGTTTCCTTGTGGTGCAGACCATCTACATGGATGATGGAGTGTCGTCCTTTGTCCAGATTAGAGGCTCTGTTCCACTGTTTTGGGAGCAGCCAGGGCTACAGGTAGGTAATAAAAACTGTGGCCACCTGTGCTGTTCCCCATGACTTTTTCCTCTCAACAGCTATGGCTCCTTTCTTTTAACCATGTTTCTTTCATGGCACAGTTTCTGGTCCTTGTCCTCCGTCCATCTGGATTGAGTGGAGCTGTCTAAGGGTGCACGTTTGTGGGCCGTGTCTGTGTACAGAGGTATAGGTTGTGTGGACATATCACTTGCTTACTGTTGACACAGGTGAAGTGGGAAGGTCCTTGCTGATATGTGGACCACATAGCGTAACTGAGGAGAATTATCTTAAGTTAGACACCAAGTTTGGTATGTGAGAAGGATGGTTTTGAGTTGGGATGAGCCTGGTGGGCTCTGAAAGGTCTCTGGGCTTAGTGGCCATGAGCAGGTCTGGCATTTGGAGGGGCCTTGTGGGGCCATGTTGAGAATTCACAGAGCTTTTCCATGATTTCTAAAAATACTCCTTGTCCAAAACAGGGCTGCAGCCAGTGCCAGAGGTATTTGGCATTCTGTCTCCTGGGCAGAGTTCAGGGTATGCAGAATTCCAAGAACACATCTGTCATCAGCGGAACTGCCTCATTCAGTGGGTTCCCACCCAGGAGCACCAGCGGGCTTGGGATCGCTCAGCACCAATCCCAGGTCCCCCTGCCTGGCCTGAGGAGCGCGCTGCAGCTTCGGCTCCCCTCCCGAGCTCCGTGTGGTGCAGCTGGCTCATCAGCCTGTGGCCGCCAAGGCTCAGAGCCGTCTGCCAGGTTCTTGGGGGTGTCTGGCACGGTCCTATCTTACCTCACCTTGGACTTGACCCCATATCAGCAGTAAGGCACTTTGTCTTCGGGGCTGTCACCGTGCTGCTGTTGACAGAGTAGGGAGACAGCAGGATGAGTGTCTTGTCTGGGGTCTGATTCTCGGGGAGAAAGAGGAGCTTGATTAGCACTCAGGCTTTCCATTAGAAAGGAACAACTCATGTAAGGATGCCTGATGGCAGTAGGTGGTGGCATGGAGAAGTTTGCCTGAGGGTGGTCAGCGTGTGGGAAATTCCTCTGGGGCTCATCCCGAAAGAGTTGGCTTTTTTAAAAGCAGCTTTATTGAGATGTAATTTACATAGTGTACACTTCACCCATGTAAAGTGTAACAGTTCAGTGGTTTGTGTGCATTTACAGACCTGTGTCACCATCACCTTCTCTAATTTTGCAACACTTCCATCACACTAAAAATCCCTGTACCCCCTAGCAGGCCCTCCCCGGTCCCTCCAGCTCCCCCCGAGGCCAAAGCAACTCTTAGTCTTTCTGTCTTTAGACTTGCCTATTTTGGACATTCCAAAAGAGTTTTTGAAACGTGACTTTCTTTAGTTTTTCTTCTGGAACTTCTGAAGGTTTGTATTAGAAAAATAAAAAGCAAAGATCAAATGAGTCAAGGACAAGAAGGGAGGAGGGAGACCACATTACGTTTCATGTAGAGATTTGTAAGAAATCCCGAAACTGGGGATGGCCATGACAGAGTCTTGGGATTTGGGAAGGATCCTCTGAAATTCACCCATTTCACCCTCGCACCCAGTTCAGGGTCCTTCTCCCAGGATCTGTGGGAGGCTGACCTGTGGACACTGACCTTGAGGCTATGTCTGCGATGATTGGCGAGTTCCAGCCCTGCACGCTCTCAGTGTCTGCAGGCGCTCCAGGGGAGGGACTGGAGTAAGCCTGAGTTCCAAGACCGTCAGGGAGGACTCTAGGGTTTCTCCCTCTCCCCGTTTTGTCCTCTGCAGGGCCTTCCTGCTCCTTGGCCATCTTCTGTCAGCTTTCTAGGACTCCCTGTGTTCTAGTTGCCCTCTTCTAAAAACAAAGCAAAACTTGTTTGCCATCACCCGCTCTAACTTTGCTCTCCAGCCTGGCCCCCTCATGCTCCAATGCGGCCCGGCCTGCGGGGCGATACCTCACTCTGCCACGGGCAGTGTCAGCAGGGCTCAGTGGCTGGGGTTTGGGCAGCTTTCGCACCTTTGGTAACAGCACCTGTGCTTCTCCAGCGCCTCCGTGGTCTCTTCAAAATAAGCTTTCAAAGGCTTGGGTGTTCATTAATCTATGATGGATTTGCCGACCTTTGGGTCTGATACCCGTGTTTATCCTCTAACCATCACCCATCATCAAAGAGATTGCGTCCCTCCACTGGGGACCAGGAGGACAGCTTTGGGGGAGGGCGGGAGACGGGGTGGGGGTGGGGCTCTGTCGTCCTCCCTGAACTACCACTAGCAAGCCTGAGGATCAATTCTGGTTGTTTTTCTCCATTTTCAACTTTTTCCCTTCCTCCTTCACTTAGATTAGGCGAAAAGTGCCAAGATTTGGGGTGAATAGCTTCCGTTTTAAGTTGTGATGTTGCACCCTCTTGGGGATGCCCCAGGGCACCAAGGAGACCCACTGGGATGGGGCCGGGCCATGGGACTGCTGGTGGGACCATGATTGGTCTGCTCATTTTCATGGGGATGTACCTTCATCACGAACTCCTGGATCCTGACGCTGTTTCCAGCAACCATGTACCTTTAGCAATTTCATCTTTTCTATGTAAATAGGTTTGCAGTTTATAAATAGCCACACTGGAATTTTACCCTTAGAGCTAATGCTGTCCCAGTATATTACAGAGTATATCTCTTATTCACTGTTGAAGATTTTGCTTCCCGTGTCAGTAGAGAATCTCCCTCCCTGTGACGTGCATTTATAGACACGTATCTGGCACAGGCCTGGGTTTTGAGGCGTCACACGACTCAGCCAGTGGGAGGAGGATGCCAAGCACTGGGGCCCTCTGCTGCTCCCACGCTGTCTGCGCCTGCTCTGCCTCCGCCTCTGCCGACGGCCCACTGGGCTCTGGGATGCTTGTCCCTGTTCGAGTGTGTGGTTGTCGTGGTCTTTGTTCTGGAAAGCCGGTGAGATGGCTTGGAGTGCAGCAGTCTCAACACCAGTGATGAGGTTAGGGGGAGGGAAAACTTCTGGTGACATGAACTGAAGCCAGCGTAGTGTTGCTCCCCGCTGCAGTGGGCCCCGCGCGCCTGCCCGCAGCCCCTGTGCTCACGGGCAGCCACACCCTCAGAAAGAAGATGGCAGCCAGCTCCTCGTGTGATTCAGTTCGTCGGCTTTGAAGTTATATAGGCCTGGGCTCTAGTCTGGCTCCCACTCAGGAACCACTTTTAGGAAGTTCTTACCTCCAAAAGAGCTGAGAAGGTCTTATTTTTGCTAAGCCTTAGTTTACTCTTCTGTAAAATGGGGTTAATAATACCAACCTCATAGGTTTACAGAGAAGATTATGTATCATAATGTACCTTAGAATTTAGTATTTAGAACCAAGAAAACACTAAGAACAGTAATTGTTAATATTATTAATGCATTAATGGTAACATCTAGGAGACAGAAACATAAGTTGCATTAGGCAAAGTATGGCTCTGTGTGCCCTGGGAACAGGTAAGATTTTCCTCCAAGTCTCCATAAGGACAGTGTGAGATGTAGTGACAGTGTCCTCAGCACACAGCATGAGGCCCAGCTCTCACTGACACCCCTGAGTTGGCCACTTATTTGTCCCACAGACATTCACTGAGTGGCAGTGAAAGTCAGACAGAGCCCCTGCCTTCAGGGAGGAGGGGACCGGACATGACAGTGTCATGTGAATAACTCCTACAAGAGAGGGGGGCCGAGAGCCCTGTGGCAGCTCTGTGGAGGGCCAGCTCACCAGGCCGAATGGACCTGGGATAGCTGGGTGGAACCCCCACAGGGATGGCAGCCCTTGGAGAAAGAACCACAGAGGCAGTGTTCTAACCCCCAAGACCAGGCACAACCAGGGAACTCCACTGGCCTACCTGCTGCAGACCCAGACATGGGGTGTGGGGAGGCTGGAGAAGCTAGCAGGGGCCAGACAAGGCGGGCCATGTATGCTGTGCTGAGGACCTCACAGTTCACCCCAGGAGCCGTTAAAGGAGTGATGCCCAAGCTTTGCACGTTAGAATCACACCTGGGCTGCGTGTAAAACTGATACCCAGCTTGTATGCTGTGCCAACTAAATCACAATGTCAGGGTGATGGCCAAGCCCCAGTGCTTTTTGAAGACCCTCAGATAACTCTGTGTGCAGGAAGGTGGGAACCACTCAGTGATATGCTGATAAACCGGTTTTCGTAGGGCCAGGAGGGGGAGGTTTTGATTTGCAGCAGTTGCCCATTCCTGTGTGTAAACACTCCCATTGTGGCCAATTTCAAGCTACCAACTTATGTCAGGGAACTTGGAGCTGGGAAGAGATGCATACACAATCGGCTTGTGAGCCCCGGAGCATGGCCCTGTGGGCTCCCAGGTGTTAGTTTGGAGAGAGAAGGTGGAAGGTAAAGCCACCAGGTGGAACTGTTGCAAAATTCTCAGTGAGAGCCTTGGGCAGCCTTATCTAGGGGAGGGGGCAGATGCAGGGGAGACTAGGAGATGCCACTGGTGATTACAGGCATTGGTGGGGGGGCTCTCAGTGCTGTGTGGGTTCTGTTCCACATAGCCCAGCGTTCATGAGACCTTGGTTAGTCCCCGAGGCCGGTCTGTGGGATTGAACTGATGACTTCAGGGACCAGAAAGGAGAGACTGGCCAAGTGTCCACCCGGCCAGGAGCAGGGGTGGTGGCTGCAGGGGAAGGAGGGGACCGTTGTTCAGTGTGCCATTGCCAGTGGTGCTTTCTTTCCAGCCCCTGACGGAAGTGCCTGCTTGAGGCCCTAACACGGTGGCCTCAGGACAAGGTAACACCAGAGAGGAAAGATACGGGACAATGGTGGAGGCAGGGCCCCAGCTGGGGGAGGCAGAACATGAGGCCTGAGGCCACCAGGGGAAGGGGAGGTAGAGGAAGGGTGGCCTGAGGAGAGAACCCCCAGGCCCTGTCCACATTGGGAGGTGGGAGAGGCAGCCTGAGGCCATGATGCCCAAGGAGGAGAGGGCCCTGTGGCTGTGCTGGGACTGAGCTCGTTTTCATGGCCTCATCCCCCACAGGCATCTGCAACCTGAGCAAAAAGGAATAGAGGAAGATGAGCAAGTCAAAATCAGAGCTTCTCAAACTTTAGCATGTATGTGTGTGTGTATGTGTGTAAACATGCACACACACATACATGCAGGAATCACCTGGAGAGCTTGTTAAAACACAGGTCCTTGGCCTCACCCCCGGAATTTCCATTCAGTCAGTCAGAGCTTTCTGGGGGAGGCTGATGCTGCTGGTCCAGGGACCACACTTTGAGAACCATTAGGGTCAGGGGTCTTTTCTGCACATTTACTGCCCTGGTCCTTCGCTGTGGCTGGTGCTCTTGACCTCTTAGTGTTCCCAGGTGGGTTTGTCATCAGCAGTGACATTGGACTAACTGCTGTAGGGGCTAGGAACATGCCCAGCACAGCCTGGCTAGCCCCAGCCACATGGATGGTCAGCAAAGTCGGTGAGAGAGACAAGGCAGAGGCTTGGGAGGGACGTGCCCTGGCGCCGTGGCCTGTGCCATTTTCTACCACCGGCGGCTGCTTCCCTTCTGGTCCCCACCTTCCCTGAGTCCTGCTGAGGCGGTTGAGGGCCTGCAGCCCTGTTACCCTGCTTGTTCTCAGTTCCTAGTGGCCATTTCCATCAAACTAAGGTGCACTTGTTATGCAGACGTGATAAAAACCTTGGAGTGTGTTTCTAGGTCTTTCCACGGTGATCCCGGTTGGGTGGGAATCATTCAGGGCAGAGAAATTGGGATCTCCGTCTGTTTCCCGTCTTTATGGTCCCCTGTGCTGTGCTGACGTGGGGGTCAGGGTGTGCTCACTAACTCAGCCCTGACTGGCCATGCAATTTGTAATGGAACTAAGATAATTTTGATAATGGGAGGAATTAGAACCTAGATGTTGGACATTCCTGAGTCTAGTCACCTGTGACTGAAATTTCTACCTGTTCAGAAGAAGAAACTTTGGGTTATAACTCAGGGACAGACAGATCGACACTAGTCCTAGAACTTAGCACCACTAAAAACCAGGCGTCTGTGCCCTGAACCGATGCTTTTCTGCACACTCTTGACTGTGTTCCCATGGGAACAATTCTAAAAACAGCTGCAGCTTATCTCTGAAGCCAGGGGAGAGTTCTTGCTGTGACTGACACGGTGACCCTGGGCAAGCAGCTCCTCCTGTCGGGCTTTAGCCCTCAGCGATCTCAGGAGGTAGCGTGGAGGACCGGAGGACCGCTGTCTACCAGTGCCTTCCTGTAAGTTGGGAAGGAGGACTGGGGCTGACTTGGCCTGGCTGCAGGACGGAGCAGCCTGCTCAGAACCCAGGGCTTGTGGAAGTTCGGGGAATTAAGCATCACATTTCCTCAGCCAGGGGTTGTTGGCTACTGGGAAAAGGAGAGCAGAACAAACACAGCAGCAAAATGGAGGCGTCTTGGTTGAGCCTCTCAAGATTCCCGAGGTTTCTTGGGACCAAAATGGACTTGGGACTTTATTTGAAGTATCAATGAGATGGACAAACCTAACCCCAGTACTTTCTAAACCTAATGATAAGAAACCAATTTTCTAGATGGGCACTTTCCTTAAGTATGAATAGGTATTATTACCTTGGTGTTAGGAGTTGTAAAATAACACGTCATATGTATTCACTGATGGTGAATTAGTGATGGTATGGGCGAATCTAATGACTCCACTTTTACAAGGCCCAACAACAGACAAATTTAAATAGCACATTTAAAGAAACTTGTTGTCATGAATAATTCCAGGCCTACAGAGCAGCTGTAAGATCAGTAAAGAGAGCCCTTATATCCTTTACCCAGATTTGCTAAATGCAAGCCTCTTGTCACACATGCACCGGCTGGTACTCATTTTCTGAACCACTGGAGAGTGGGTTGCCTTCATTGTGTCCCCTCTTCACAGGTCAGGATGTTTTCCTAAGAGCAGCTATACCCCCATCCATCCTCACAGCGCAGGCACACTGCCAGGGACCATAACGGCTCATGGCTTCAGTGCGCAGGCCCTGCTCCAGACCACCCATTGACTCAGTAATGCCCTCAGAGCGCCTTCTTCCCTCAGGCCAGGAGCATTTCCTGTACTTGGGGTCACATCACTAGTCTCTCTTTATCTGGATCAATTCCTCCACCTTTCTGTCTCTTGTGACGTTGACATTTTTGGAGAAGGTAGACCTTTTTCTCTACATCGAAGGGGCCTCATTTTGGTGTTTCCTGGTGTTTGTTACAATCAGGTCCAGGGTGTGGATCCCTGTCTCCAAGTCCTCCTCAGTGTGTTCAGTCTGGAAGCCCACAGTGTCCATCGGCCCCTCATTAGTAATTTTGGTCATCTGGGCAAGGAGCTAGTCAGTCTCTTCACTTATCATTATTTTGTTTTCTTTTTCAATTAATAAGCAAACTACGGGAGACTCTTGGGACCATGCTAGCATCCTGCTCCTCGGCTAACTCTTCCTTAACATTTATGACCAACAGGTGGTTTTTGCTGAACAGTTCTTTACTATGATATTGTACAATGATTTTCCACCACTCCCCACATGGTATTCTACCACAAAGAAGAGCCTCCTCGCCTTCCTGCCCACCCACCCATCCACTCACTTGTCCACCTGCCCACCCACCCATCCATCTGTCCACTCCTCCACCTGTCTAGCCAGGTTTCATGTGTGTAGATTCATGGGTTCCTGTTTTGTTCCTCAGGCTTTATCCATTATTTTCCTTGTCAGATTGTCCCAGATTTGTCCAGAGAAGGCTCCTTCAAGTGGGCTCCAATAATGCTATGTAGTTTTAAGTTTGTTTTTTGAACTTCCAATGTGAAATAGGTAGTTCTAAGGAACAAGATTAAAAATTCAAAGTTTGCAGGCAGTTATAACTCAGGTTGCAGGGCCAAGGTCTCTGGGGTTGCAGGGGAGGCTGAGCGGTGGCTTCTCTCTCTCTGGTTGGCTCTGCTGCACCTCTGTGCTTGGAAGGGTCTGCAGATCTGCTGCAGGCCTCACCTCTCACCCTGAAATTTCCCTTCTGTCTGTGGAGGAGCTCCAGCCAGCAAGCTTCATGCTGCAGTTGGGACCCAGCCGCAGCAGAGCTGCGCTCAGATGTCTGGCCCTGAGTTCAGGGCCTGGCCGTCCTGAGCCGTGAATGGGTCCCCAAGGGGCTGCCTGGCTGTCCTGTGGGGGTGGGCTGGTGGTGGGAGGGGGCTTGGAAACCCTCAGTTCTGGGTTCAGAGCAGGAGGAATCACTGGTGGTGTTTCTCTTCACTGCAGGTTGGCTCCCATCATCTGAGACTCAATAGAGGCCTGGAAGCCAACGCCCCTGCTTTTGACAGGTAAGGTGTGACCCCATCCTAAGCCTGTTGTGCTCAGGAGTCTTCCTGCCTTCAGACACCGGCACAGGCCACAGGTGCAGCTGGAGGGGGAGGCCCCAGCCTGGGATCGAAATTTGCCTTTTACTTTGGCCCTTTATGCAGAAGGGAATGGGGTTTTTACTTGCTCTCAGGTTCCTGAAAGTTCATTCATAAAGACTCAGGTACCACTTTGCAATTACTTATCTTATCCACATGTTTATGGGCTTTTAAAAAAAATTTTTTTAAGAACATTCACGTAGACTTAAAATTTTTAAATCCTTTTAGTGTATGTCTGTGTATATATATGTATGGTGTGTGTGTGTGTGTGTGTGTACACCCAAGGGAATAAACCCTCTCTTTCCTCACATGTGCCCCTCCCCTAAGTCTAGAGGTAAACTTAATCTCTTCTGTGAGTCACTGAAAAACTTTCTGAGACCGTAAGTCCTTTTACAGGCAGTTAATTGCTTAAAATCGGGCTTACAGGAAGTTCCCTTTTTCATGCTTTCTAACTGAAGCTGGACTGATTCTGTGCTCTCACGCTGGTGGAAGGGGCAGCCCTCATGCCGGGTGCCAACCCGGCTTTCGTTTCAGTGATGTTTGGGGGTGACGCTTTCTCTACCGTGGAGGGGCGCTGAGGAGCAGGCCGCATCACCCTCTAGGGTGCCCCAGATCTCTGGGACATCACCAGCCTCTTAGGAATTTCTCAGTTCTTAGATGCGTTTGGACCAGAGTAAAGCCCAACCCCACCACCCTGGACAAAACCCTTCCTGTGGGTTGTTTGAATGCCACCAGAGTACTCTTCTGTTATTGGCAGTGCTGAACTCTGGCTTTGCTACTGCCTGTCACCTCTCTGCCAGGTGTGGAGGGCGGGACTGAGCAGGCCTTGGGCTGGGCCTGCTGGCATTTGCACTGGAGCCCTACGGGGTCACATGTCTGCTCCTCCCTCCTCCCTCAGCCTGCAGCTGCCTGTGTCCAGAATTCAGGTGTGGCCTTCAGGATGTATTTAACCATTGGCCCCTCAGTTATGCCCTGAATATGAGGAGGAGGCTGCCATGTACAAATCTGACTCCTTAATGTCCTCACCTCCTGCAACTTCCCGAGCCACTCCATGAAACAGTGACAGATGGGTCAGCAGGGAGGAAGGCCTGAATGCAGGTCCCTGATATGCAAGTATTTTCCTAAAGCCGAAACTCCTCCCTCCCTTCCAGTTTGGGTTAGTTGTAATGAAATGCAACTTCAGAGAAAAGTTGGGACACTGAGCTTGACAGCTCTCCTGCCAGTTTTTCTAGTTTTGAGAAGGAAGGTACTAAGTGAAATAAGAGATTAATTGCAGAGACATGCTCATTGCATTTGGAAGGCTCTGCTCATGAGGCCAACTTAGCTATTCTAGACTTAATGGTACTTTATAGAAAGTGTAGAGCATCCTTTGTATAATACTAGGGTCTAAGCCTTCATGCAAACAGACCATTCACGTGCTTGCCCCTGACAGTAAGTCCCTGGCAGCCATGGTGGTGGGGGGAGACTGGTTTTCTGCACCCCCATTTTAGGTCCTGGGGAACAACTCATCCTGGGCCTCTAGTGCCAAGGAGGGCCCTGCTCTACTCTCCCCTCAAGGGTGGGACGTCAGCCTGAGTCCCAGGGGGATGGGTCATGTGCCGCCCTGCTCCATTGCAGACATATGGTGCTTCTGAAGGAGCAGTACGGGAAGCAAGTGGTGGTGAACCTGCTGAGGAGCCGAGGCGGAGAGGAGGTGCTCAACAGAGCCTTCAAGGTAACGCATCCCCCAAGGACCGGAGCGGGGCAGGGCCGCTGGGAGGCTGTTCTCGCGGCTCTCGCCATGTTGGGGGAGTTCCTCTTCCACCAGCTCTACAGCATTAGGTGATTCGAGCTCCTGACGCATGAAGTTTCATTTTTATGAACTGATGGCTGGAGAATTTGCTCAAAGTCACAACAAAGCATCTGCTCCAGCTGCATTTCCTCCCGAGCTCCTAGTGGGGCTCGAGGACTCGGGACGGCCAGGCCTTTCCCGGGCTTTCTTGGACACACACACTCATATACACACATGTTTGGGCTTGGCCCAGTGCATCCCTGACCTCCTTGGGCGACCCCGGCTTGCCCTCCCATTCCTGGGTCTGGCTTGGCTGCTGGTGGCACCTCCAGGTCAGCCCACACACACACCTGCAGGGCTTGTGTGCCTGGCAAGGCCTTTAGAGCCCCTGCTTGGTTTAAAGCACAGAATCTTCCCTAACTTCCTCCTGCTAACTAGGAGATCTTCATCCCTGTTTGAGCTGACCCTGAAAGCTGCTTCCTGTGTCCGGCTCCCTGGGGCTCCCCAGTGCACACGCAGGGGTGTCGGGAGAAACGTGGACAGGGGAGGAAGCAGGGAGCAAGGGGCTCCCCCTGCCCAGCCTGGGTCTCTCCCAGTTTCTGACCTCCTGTGTATATCAGTCTGCTACTAATGAAAAGCTCCAGAAACAGCTGTGGGTGCCTCCACATTCCTACTTGAGTCACCCAGGTCTCTCTGTTTAAAAAGGAGAGAGAAAAACCAGGAGAAAAGCCCTCTGGTTCTTCGAGGGCCGAGGAAGCCCATTATGGTGAGAGTTAGAAGTCAGGCCTCCTCTCCCAGGGAATGGAGTTCACTGCCTCCCTGGCCCCTGGCCCCTGGCAGCTAAATCCAGCTGGGTGCTCATTATACTCTGCCTAGAAAAGGTTGGAGCAGGTTTTCTGGTGGCCAGTCTCACTTGGCCAGACCTGCTTTTCCTGTTTGGTTTGCTGCTATTGGCAACAAGCTCCTACAGTATCTCCCCTCCCACCCATCTTGGCAGTAATGTTGGCAGCTTATTTTAAGGGACAAGAGGGAAAAAAAAAATCCAGAGAATCTCTTTTCCCTTTATCTTGAGTTATGGGGAGAAGACGTTCTCGGGACCCCCTGTCAGCTGGTGGACATGCCCCCTGCACTGACGCTCTTATGTCACAAGAAGGGCAGGAGATGGCAGTGTTCCCGTGGCCCAGGTCGGGGAGGACCAGCTCCTGGGCAGGTAGGAGGTAAGAGGTGGCCACTCTGCCTGGAGGTGTCACATGGAGCCTCGGCTCCCTTACACGTCAGCTCTGCCACGCTGAGGTCCACGCGCTGGCAGCTGGCCTGCCCCTGGCCATTATGAGGCTGCAGCTGGACAGGGCCTTGCTCCAGGGTGTAAGGCCCATGAGTATACTATTCAGTTCACCAACATCTTCAAAGCAAGACTTTCTTTGCTTCCCCATGCCCTGTTTCACATTTTGATTCACGGTAGGATGGATACCTTGAGTTGTAGGGACCAGACAGCCCCAAGTCCTTCTAGTCCTTCCAGGTCGTTGGACCCTCTAGACAAGCCTGAAGTGAAGCCACGCGGGACGGTGCTGGGTTGGGGAGGCCTGGGGCCGGGTGCCCTGGGAAGATTTATCCTTTACCGTGCAACTGCCTCCTGTGCAAGGGAGGCCTCTGCTCAGAGCACCCAGCTGCCTGGCACCCACCTGCTGGGCCTCCCACCTCTGGTCCCTCCTCCACTCCGGTTCATGTGCCAGGCTAGGCCCACTGGCCCTGTCACCCATCTCCCCCATGACGTGTCAGTGGCCTGTGCTTCCTGCCCCTCCCCTCCTGGGGACCCAAAAGACCTCAAATGGGAGGCTTGGCCACTTCTGAGCAGAGATCCCCCCAAGAGGCTTGCCCTTGGTAGGGTGGAACTGGTCGCAGGGCACCAGTGAGCCTGGTGCACTGCCCTGTCCCTGACGGGCTGGTGGCCCTTGGCCCCTGAAAGACAAACTGGCCCTTCCCTCTTCTGTGGCCTCCGAGAGCCCTGCAGGAGGTGGGGTCCTGCCCTGGGGGCTGCACTGGCTCCGACTGTCTTTTGCCCAAGGTGGACCTTCTGCCCTTCTGCCCTTCTGCAGGCGAGATGCTCTTTGTGGTTTTGTCCCTGGGCTGTGCTTCTCTTTCAGGGTCAGGACTGATCAACCGCTCAGTCACCCATGAGCTTTGAAACTAACCACGAGCTCTAGTGAGTGACGTGGTTGGCCCCGCGGATCCCAGCTGCGGGAGGAAGTTTCCGGTCACTGCCTTCCTCTTTCCTCTGCCCTGCAGCCCACTCCCTTTCCCCTTCCAGAAGCTGCTCTGGGCTTCCTGCCACGCCAGCGACACGCCTATGATAAACTTTGACTTCCATCAGTTTGCCAAAGGCGGGAAGCTAGAGAAATTGGAGAACCTGTTGAGGCCCCAGCTAAAGCTCCACTGGGATGACTTTGGCGTGTACACCAAGGGCGAGAATGTAAGTCCACGGTGAGTCCACCTGCGTCTCCGTCCTCCTGCCGGGAGAGATGCCCGAGTGGCAGGGGCTCTCCTGGGGTGGGTGCCTTCCTGCTGCTTGGCTGTGCTCACAGTTTCCTGGGCCACTGGCGTGGTGGTTTGGGGGACCCAGGGTTCCAGCCTTCTCCTTTCCCTTGCTGCCATCAGAACATGCTTCTGAATTTTGCAGTAGATGATAAAGCATGGTTTCCTTACAAAATAAATGTAATCAAGGAAACTAGTTATAATGGAGCCATGGGGACCAGATAACTTATTGTCCAAACTATGATGAAAGCCTGTGAGAGTAAAGGGGCACAGCTGGTGTGACCCCACTGCCCAAGGAACTTGGGGTGGTGTGCACTTCCCTGCTTAGAGCTACAAAGAAAATGTCCAGTTTCTTCAAATCACAACACAGCTGGCCCTTGAACAGTGTGGGTGTTGGGTATACTGACTCGCCACACAGTTGAAAATCCACATATAACTTTTGATTCCCCCCAAATGTCACTACAGATAGGCTACTGTTGTTGGGAAATATTACCAAAAAACATAAATTGTCAATTAACATATATTTTGTATGTGCATTATATACTATGTTCTTAGAGTAAACTGGAGAGAAAAGGAAATGTTATTAAGAAAATTCTAAAGAGGAGAAAATACAATTGCAATACTTGCAAAAATTTTGAAAAACTTTTTGTATTGACAATTGAAAAAAGTCTTTGTATTGGAAGTATTGAAAGCATCCACACAAAAGTGGACCCACCCAGTTTAAGAGTCAGCTAAACAGTCAATCCGCATTATCACTTTCTGTATTTGCAAATTTGCCCATTCACTAAGATGTATTTGTAACCCCCAAATCAATACTTAGGGAACTTTCAAGGTCATTCACAGACACACTCACAACTGTGAAAACTTTGAGTTGCCGAAGGAGGAACGAGGCAGAACAACTCTGCCTTCCTGTCTCAGCATTCCTACTATAAATAAGTGTCCTTTTCACAATCTACTTAGTGCCGTGTCTTCACGTTTTTGTGCATTTTGTTGGTGGTTTCACTGTTTAAAATGGCTCCCAAGTGTAGAGCTAAGTGCCGTCTAGTGCTCCTAAGCTCAAGAAGGCTGTGCTGTGCCTTATGAGGAAAATGGGTGTGTGCGAGAGGCTTTGTTCAGGTCGAGTTATAGTCCGTTGGCCATGAGTTAAGTGTTAATGAATCAACAGTATATATTAAAGCATCTTTAAACAGAAATACATGTAAGACAAAGCTGTGTTGATTAGTTGATGAAAATGTGTGACCAGAGACTCACAGGATTTCCCCTAAGAGCAATGGTTCAGCATTTGGTATTTGGTAATAGTTGAATAAACTGATTGTTCCCAGCAACTCCCTAGAATATAACCACGGCACATAACAAGCATGACCGTGCTTTACGGCAGCTCAGCTGCTCGGGCTGTTGGAGGTGTGCTCTGGGGCCTGCTGCTACTCCTACAGAGCTGGGCCCATTGGGATGTACTTGGGGGTTCTGGTGGGCTGCTAGGGAGGGGGCAAGGTTTGGTATGTGTTTTCCTCCGGTGTCTGTAGTCAAACATAGGCCATTGTGCTACAGCTACTGCTCCTTTAAACATAATACATAACTGTTTGCATTTCTTGTTTCCCAAGTTTTCAGAAAGGCACTTTGCGAATGAACTGCCTTGACTGCCTGGACCGAACCAACACAGTGCAGGGCTTCATTGCACTCGAGGTCTGTCCTTGTCCCTGCTATGGTCCCTCGGGCCACCTGTGTCATTTTTGTGATTTCAGTGGGGACAGACTTGTCTGAACACCTTGATTGGTGACACTGGCTAATGTTCTAACTCTGGGGAGGTGGGACAGGGATGTGCTGGGCTTCTAGAGAGTTGTCCTGGGTGGCTGGCTTGCACACCCCACAGTGTACTGTAACAGGCACACTTCCTCACAGGCTTTTTGGAATGCATCTCAGACATTCCTGGTTGACTTCTGCTGACTCACTGCTGGGAGGAGGGGTGGGGTCAGTGCTACCTGCCGGCTACGCCTGGGTCAGAGTGAGGGGGTTAGAAGAGGGCTGGATGGAATGATAGCATTAGGTAAAGTTGAGGTGAGCTATGGTGGGAAGCCCATTTTCCTCTGGAGGGGCCCAGAGTGATCCACAGTTGGCCAAATAAGCAGCCCCCTGGGATGGCGCCTGGTGATGCTCACCCAGGGTGGCTTCCCCAGGACAGCTGTCTCTTACTTCTCACCCAGGTCCTTCACCTGCAGCTCGAGAGCCTCGGGCTGAATTCGAAGCCCATTGCCGAGCGCTTTGTGGAGTCCTTCAAAGCCATGTGGTCTCTGAATGGGCACAGCCTGAGCAAGATGTTCACGGGCAGCCGGGCCCTGGAAGGGAAAGCGAAGGTAGGAGCAGGGCCGCGGGGTGGACGGGGCGTGGGGGCTGCACAGACCCTCTCTCACAGCCCGCGGCCTGGCTTGCGGCAGGTGGGGAAGCTGAAGGACGGGGCCCGGTCCGTGTCACGCACTATCCAGTCCAACTTCTTTGACGGCGTGAAGCAGGAAGCCATCAAGCTGCTGCTGGTTGGGGACGTCTACGCCGAGGAGTCTGCAGACAAAGGAAGGGTGCTCCTGGACAACACGGCCCTGCTAGGTAAGGGGCTCCTGTTCCACTTCCGCGGGTGTCCGGCTGCCCTGCCTCCCGGAGAACATAGATTTTGAGGGAGTGATGCTCACCAGCCCGACTCACCCCCCATGTAATCCTAGACTGTGTGCGGCAGACTCCCTGGAGCTGTAGGGCAGAGGGAGGGAGCTTCTGTGGTCTTGACTCCTGGCCCATGACTTCAGCTTGACCAGTCGGCCTAAGCAGCTTGCAGCAGCTGTGTTTTGTATTCTCTTGTGAGATCATCAGTCCTGTGTGACCATAAGAAGAGGCAGAAGAAAGACTCAGAAAAAAACAATTTATTCTTCCTAAGCAGGGACACACACAGACTGAAAGCAAAGGGATGGAGAAAGATATTCCATGCAACTAGAAATGAAAATTGGTGTAGCTAAACTCAGAGCAGATGAAATAGACTTCAAAATAGACTATAATAATAGACAAGGGCTAATCCTAGTAGAAGACATAACATTTATAAATATGCAGCCAACAAAGGAGCACCAAGATATAGAAAGCAAATATTCAGGGACCTAAAGAGAGAAATTGACAGCAATACAATGACAGTAGGGGACTTTAACACCCCACTAACATCAGTGGACAGATCATCTGAACAGAAAATTAATAAGGAAACATTGCCCTTAAATGACACATTATACCAGATGGACTTAATAGATAAACACAGAACATTCCATCCTGCAGCAACAGGGTACACATTGTTCTCAAGTGCCCTTGGGACATTCGCCAGGATAGATCACATGTTTGACACAAACCTCAATCAATTCATATCAAGAATCTTCTCTGAACACAATGGTATGAAACTAGAAATAATTACAAGGAGAAACCTGGAAAAAAACCCCACAAAATGTGGGGATTAAACAACATGCTATGCTACTGAACAACCAGTGGGTCATCGAAGAAGTCAAAAAATATCTACAGACAAATGAAAACAAATACAACATACCAAGATCTTTGGAATATGGCAAAAATGTTCTAAGAGGGATGATCCTAGCACTAGAGGCCTACTTCAAGAAAGAAGAGAAATATCAAACCAACTTTATACCTAAAGATGGTAGAAAAAGAACAAAGGAAGCCCAAAGACAGTAGGAGGAAGGAAATAATAAAGATCAGAGCAAAAATAAATGAAATTGAGATGAAAAAAAGCAATAGAAAAGAACAATAAAACAGCTGTTTCTCTGAAAAGATAAACAAACCTTTAGCTAGACTAACCAAGAAAAAAGAGGCTTCAAGTAAACAAAAGGAGAAATGAAAGAAGAAATTACAGTGGACACCACAGAAATACAAAGGACCATAATGGAATACTGTGAACAGTAATATGCCAACAGAATCGAGAGGCCACCGTTAAAGTGTGAGTTAAACACACACCTGTATGAACAATTAATTTACAACAAATGAGCTAAGAGTATGGAGAAAGGACAGTCCCTTTAGTAAATGGTGCTGGGAAAACTGGACAGCCACATGCAAAAGAATGAAACTTATACTATACCAGAATTAAAGATGGATTAAAGACTTGAAGACATGAAGCCATAAATTTCTTAGAAGAAAACCTAGGCAATAAGCTCCTGGACATAGTCTTAGTGTATTTTTGTGGCTGTGACTCCAAAGGCTAAGGAAAAAAAGCAAATGTAAGTAAATTGGATTACATCCAACTCACACTAAAAAGCTTCAGCAGAGTGAAAGAAACCACCATCAAGATGGAAACGCAATGTAGTGAAGGAGATAAATTTTTGCAAATCATCTCTTCGTCAAGGGATTCATAGCTAAAATATAAATTAGAAAACTCATACAACTCAACTACAGAAAATGGACAGCCTGATAAAAAAGACATGTAGATGGCTAGCAGGCACATGAAACGATGTTCAGTATCACTAATGATTAGGGAAATGCAGATCAAAACCACAATGTGAAACAAGTGTTGGAGAGGATGTGGAGAAAAGGGAACCCTCCTGCACTGATGGTGAGAATGTAAATTGGTGTGGTCACTATGGAAAGCAGTATGGACATTTCTCAAAACATCAAGAATATGATCCACCTATTCCACTTCTGGGATTCATGTAAAGAATGTAGAGACGCGTATTTGAAGAGGTGTATGCACCCTTATTGTTGGGGGTGATGAGGGTGCCCTCCTCGGTTCTTGTCCCCACCACAGCAAAGAAGGGCAGAGACAAGTAGTGAAGCAGAATGAAAGTTTCGTTTGAATATACTCTAAGGGAGGAACGGGCTAGAATCAGGGTAGATAAACACAGGTTTACTTGCTTATCTGGAGTAGAACAGAGGGTGAAGACTTGTGCTTAAAGTCTGGAAAATAGAATGGAATAAAGTGACAAAAACCCACTGGAAGAGCACAGAGACCAAGTGTAATAAGTTGAGCAGTAAAAAGTCTTGAAAATACACTCCAAAAAAGGGGAGTGCGGGCAACCTCGGAGAGGAGGAAGTGCACCCAGAAACTGAGATTCTGTCTTTTAAGGCTTTCAAGAATGGGGAAAAGGTAATGGGTCTGGGGCGTAGGCTTGTCAGGCGGCCTCATCTCATGATTCTATCTCTGGTGAGAGACAGTATGCCACGGTCTATAGCCGGTCCTCTGGGCGATTCTGTAGGACAAACCCTCTGTTTCTAAGACAGTGGCCACTCTCAAATATTGAACACATCAGTTAAGACTGCCTTGACTTAAGATAAGTCATTGGCTGAATCTAACTTCCTGATTCTCTTTCAAAAGTAAAATCTTAGCCTTAAGGTAAGTCTCCCTGTTCTTATTATACTAATCTCATCATTTTTTAGGAAAATGAATCATGATGCTTGCCCCTTTTCTCTGCCCTATCTCACCTGCATTAGCTGGAGCAAGTCTCTAGGTCAGCCCAGATTCAGAGCATGTGGAATGAACTCACACTGCAAAGGGTGTGAGTTCTCTGGATCCCTGGTTTAATCTGATTAACTCCTTGAGTTCTTGGTGAGCCTCACCCTCTTTACATCCCACTCTTATCTGTCTTTCTGCCTAACACTTATGTTCACTGCAGCAGTGTTTAACAATAGCCAAGAAATGGAAATGACCTAAGTGCCCATCCATGGATAAATGAATAAAGAAGATGTGGTACACATGCACAATGGAATACTATATAGACATAAAAAGAATGAAATCTTGCCATTTGTGAAAGCATGGATAGTCCTTGAGGGTATTATGCTAAATGAAATAAGTCAGAAGGAGAGAGACAAATACTATATGTGGGTAAAATTGCAATATTTCCAGAATCTCTCACTTGGCCTTAGTCCATTTCCACATCAATAGGTGTTTACAAGGGGTAGAGAGAACCTGTTCTCTTCTTAGTCCATCTCCACATCAGTAGGTGCTTCCTAGGGGTGGGTGGAGAGGTGAGCTCGGGTTGGAGAGAGTCGAGAGACGGAGAGAGAGGCAAGCAAGAGAGGCGGCCAGAGAGAAAGACGGACACGGAGCCAGGCCTCCAAATAAAGGTTATTTCCCCTTGACTGATTTCAGCTTCATAGGTTTATTTGCCCTGGGCTGGTAACACACTTCTGCCCTGGGAGTTATACCATATGATTTCACTCACATGTAGAATCAAACAAATAAATAAGCAAAATAAAAGCAAACTCATAGAAACAGAGAACAGATTGGCAGTTACCAGAGGGGACGTGTGTGGAGGTGGCATAATGGGTGAGGGGTGCCATTGTTTGGTGATGGATGGTATCTAGATTTCTAGTGGTGATTACTTTGTGGTGCAACAGATGTCAAATTATAATACACCTGCAAGCTACATAATGTTATATGCTAATTTTATATCTATTTTTGAAAAGTTTATTTAACTCACAGGTTCTAGAGCTGGGGGAGGAAGAGACACAGCACACTGCCTACCACACATGGAGAAGCCCCAGGCAAGGGGCACGGGTGCTCAGGCCACAGCCTTTGCTGGGGTTTTCTTTGTCAGGGTTCTTCGGGAAAGGCAGCACGGGTGAACAGCCTGAATAATTCCGGTGGAATTGGCTGTGGTTGACGGTACCTGGTCCTGGTGTGAGTGAGGCAGAAGAATACCGCCTCTTGGTATGCAGCCTGAGGACACTGTTGTGACCCTGGGTTTTGGTTAGTGCTTTGCTGAGCCAAGGATTGGCCAGCCCCACCCAGGACAGGCAGTGTCTCCCCAGCCAGAAAGATGTCAAGCATCATAACACACAGAAAGTAAAAACACATATACGATACCAGCCATCTGTGTTTCCCAGAAGCCTGTGTTTTCTGTCCTGGAGGGGAGCCCACTCTCATACTTTCTTAGTTGGGTTATTTTTCCAAGTCCAGAGGAGGGGAAAAATGAGGCCTCTGTAGGAGTGGGCGCACTATTCTAAAAGTGTTGCTTTCTTTGAATGCTAGCTCACACCAGAAACCTGTTCTCACCCTGACTGCGTTCTTGGCCCTATTGCCAGGTAGCATCTGTCTCAGGGGGTCTCCATGCGGGTGGCCCCAGGGCCCCGTGGAGGTGGGGGAGGAGAAGAATTGTTGGTCATCTCCTGCTGCTTTCTGGGGCAAGCCTGGCACGATCCCATCAATAACTAGAGGTTTCTTTCCCTCTTTTTTTTTTCAATTGGAGTATAACTGACATATAACATATTAGTTTCAGGTATATGATTCCATATTTGTATACATTGGGAAACGATCACCACAGTAAGTCTAGTTAACATCTGTTGCCACACATATTACAGAAGTTTTTTCTTGTGATGAGAACTTTTAAGATCTACTCTCTTAGCAACATTCAAATATGCAATGCAGTTGCTTTTGAAAAATCAGTTTGCCCATGTTTAAAATGGTTTCACAGCCATTTTCTGGATTCGTTCCTCCAATGGGAAGTTGTCATTTGGTTTCTAATAGCCTCAGTGATATTTGTGTCTACCCTGGAAATACGGCCAGCTCAGCAGAAGCTGAAGGGAGGGCTGAGTGATACATACATAATACAGTGAGTGTTATTTGCTGCAAGGTAGATACAACTTAGGTTTAGGTTAAGTCACTAAAAAGTGGAATATATTTTGGCTAACTAGAGGATAGACATGGCTCAGAGTAATGACTTTTTAAAAGCTGAGTCTGAGGTAAAACAAAACATTCCAGGCATGTGGATGCAAGGTAGAAAACGCAAAGACAGGTATGAGATGTTTAAAGTTGTATATAGATATTTAAGATAACCTAAGTTGCAGTGTCCCCTGGCTTAAATTCCCTCTGGGTCCACATGGAGTAAATGTGGAGGATGAGATTCCTTCCTGGTGGTCTGATGTCACAGCCTCCCTGGATCTGGTCTGATGTCACAGCTTCCATGGGTCTGGTCTGTTGTCACAGCTTCCGTGCATCTGGTCCGATGTCACAGCCTCCGTGGGTCTGGTCTGATGTCACAGCCTCCGTGGGTCTGGTTGGGGGCAGGCCATGGAGGGGAAATATCGGGTCTTGTGTTTTCAAGAGTTTGTGGCAGAAATGCCATCAGGCAGTGTCTGGCTGTGGTAGGTTTTAGCCTCCTGTCTTCTTAAGGAGCACACCCTGGCCCGTATCTGTAGGCTCGTGTGTCCATCTCTCCTGATGTGCTTTTGGAATTAGACAAACATGCCCCTTTCATGCTCCCTTCCAGTGACTCCCAGGATCCTGAGAGCTATGTCGGAGCGCCAGTCAGAATTTACAAATTTCAAACCAATCTGTGTTGCCATGGGAACCTGGAACGTGAATGGAGGGAAGCAGTTCAGGAGCAACCTGCTCGGGACCACCGAGCTGGCTGACTGGCTGCTTGACTCACCCACGCTCTCCAGCGTCGCAGAGTCCCCAGGTGAGTGCGGCTATTTTGGTGACAAAGGACAGGTTCCACTGACCCCTGGGTTTGCCTTTCCCATAACCATTGCCTTGCAAAATTTGGCATTTGACATCCTTTTCAGAATGTTTAGAAAGCGCCATGGCCTAACTTCCCAGAACATACCTGGCGAGTTAACTGTTTGACGCCTCCTCTTTTCCAAATGTTTGAAAGTGCTTTCAAAGCTCTAAATCTCTCTTTTCTCTTCACATAGAGATCCGGCAGTTTAGGCCTTGATCATTAGAGCCTTGTTGTAAGGAGGAAGATAGGGAACCGCGTGAGCCTGCGGAGCTGGGCTGGAGCCAGGCGCTGGTTTCCTGTAGCTACTGGCCAGGAATGTCTGTTCCTGCCTTTTCACAAACCCACTTTTTAACTATATTCATCTGCTCTAAGTAGTTGCCAGAGAATTTGTGTACATTTTAAGAAAAATAATCCCAAACTTGGCACTCACCTCTGACATCATTCAAGGTAAACTCTAATGGCCCCAAAATGCAGGATTGTGGAAGAAATGGTTTTTCTCCAGGGGCCTGGCTTTTTCTGGCTTCCTTGGATTCTGGAAGAGACCATGACCTGGTTCTCTGCCTGGTGGCGTGCAGGACCCTCTCATTCCCAGCATCTGCCCGGCTGGTGCCCGGGCCCCACCCCACTGTCCCAGGCACCGTGTGTGCCCCCCTTGCAGCCTGGGGGCAGGGCGGCTCAAGTCCTTGTTTGTGAGTCACTGGGGTTCTTTGTCAAGGGTGCCCATTCTGAGTACCCCCAGAGCAGGCCCTATAAATGCTGAGGACACTGGTACAACCTCAGCTGAAGACAGTTCCCTCCCCTCCTTTTGGGTTTTCCCTGTTTGGACCACCTAGATGGCAGTCCCCTGGGCAGGACCCCAGCAGTCACTCATTAATGGGGCAAGGCTGGGCCCAGCACCGTGAAAAGTACTTGAGGGGCACAAAAACATGTGAGATGGTGTTGCCCTCACATACTGATGCGCGGGGCACTTACCAGGAGGGAAGAAGGACAGCAGGCTTGTGCTCTTACCAGGTGCCAGGCTGGGTGGGTATTCTACACGGGGTGCCTGACCCCTCATGACCATGCCGTGGTGACTGATGTCTCTGTTGCAGAGGGACAAACAGGTCCAGGGAGGTCAGTAATGTGCCTCAGGAGGCAGGCAGGAATGGCTGTGTGCACAGGGAGCTGGTGGGAAGGTGGGGCTCCATGGGAGCCTCCCCAAGTCGCCAGGGTGAGCACACCGGGGCAGTGGGACACCTGGGCTCAGAGAGGCTGCTGAGGCGCCCTGAGTCAGCTGCCACAGGCCTCTCGGGGTCTGAGCTCCTCTGCTTCCTGCCCTGTCCCCCAGATGACAGCAGCCCAGCTGACATATTTGCTGTGGGGTTTGAAGAGATGGTGGAACTGAGTGCCGGGAATATCGTCAATGCCAGGTGAGCACCCAGTCACCAGGGGTGTAGGACAGTGAAACTCACCCCCAGGTTTTCCTGAGGCCAGAGCCTGGTGGGATACAGTGCTGTCTGCTTCTGAATCCTCTAACTGGCCCTGGATGTTACGCTCTGCAGCTTCCCCAGGTGCAGACATGCCTCCCGGTTCGTCCCTCTCTGCTGGGCAGGAGCTAGGAGGGTGGTTATCACTGCTCTGTGAGCTGGGGGCTGATTCATGCTGGAGCTGGGTGTGCACCTGTGGGGTGTGGGCCGGGGCGGCTGCAGCGCTGATTCACCTTTCCTGGGGAGGGTGACAAAGCATGAGTGGGGAGGAGGGGCTCCTTTCCTCTCCACCAGGGGCAAAGGGAAGAGAAGCACTGCACAGCATTGGGTAGACAATCGACCGGTTCTTTTCTTTTCTACTTCTATTTCACAGAATTTTTCTAAACAGATAATAAAATCTGATTCTGTGGCTCTCTTATGAACAAGGCCCTGTGCTGGTTTTCAGGTGGTGTGTGGGGGCAGGTATGTGCTGAGATGCATGTGGCACCACCAGAAATCTATGGGTGGTCTGCTGCAGGATTTAAGGCATGACGCTAATACGGGAATTCGGGCAGTATGACATCAGGTCTGTAAGAAAGAATAAACTAGGGGCTGGAGGAGTGTGTAGGTAGGAGAGCCCACTTCAGCTCACTTTCAACGGCATGGTTCTTTTCTCCTCTAGTACCACCAACAGGAAGGTGTGGGGTGAGCAGCTTCAGAAAGCCATCTCACGCTCTCATAGGTACATTCTCTTGACTTCGGCACAGCTGGTGGGCGTCTGTCTGTATATCTTTGTACGTCCGTACCATGTCCCATTTATCAGGTAAGAACATTTAGTTTACAAACATCTGGGGGAACATGGGATTGTTCTGGTGTTTTGTTCTTTTTCTTCCTCTTCCCCTCCTGCAACAGGAATCAGGACTTACCATTATCCTAGATAAATGTGTCAAAACCCCAAGGAAAAACCAGGCTGAATAGAATATTGTCTAGCAATTAAAATCTGCAGTGGGAACCTTCTAGCTCAGGAAGCTGAACTCTTTTACAAAGAGTGTTTCATGATTGTTGTCACTCAAGCTGAGCTTTGCACAAGGAAAGGGATTTAAAGTTTTATACAGGAAGCCTCTGACCAACAGCTGAGTAACTAACTCATTAGGAAATGCCCATTATTTTGCCCCTTTTAAAAAGATTTTTAAGTAAGATGTGTGCACAGAAATCCTCTGCCACTGTCACCCCATTATGGTGTCTCCAAAGTGACAGGTTTGTAAATATCATGAAGGGAAACCCTTAGGAAGTGTGAAAGTGTGTGTGTGTGTGTGTGTGTGTGTGTGTGTGTGTGTGTGTGTGTGTGTGTCAGTCACTCTTCCCCTCAACTGTCTCAGTCGTTACCTAGGCTCATTTCTGATGCCAGGTATTGAGCTAGCCTTTCCTCCTACCTGGCTGAACACCTCTGCCTATAGTTAAAGGACCACAGGTGTGCACGTGTCTGCTCTTGGAGAGCAAAACTAGGCTTTGTGCTCATGATGCTTTTCTGTGACTTCTGGAAAATGCTTAAGTCCATGTCCCCCAATGGTTTATTATGGCAGCCTGGCAGTGTCCAATGTGAATGAGTAAAGGTCAATAAAGGTTAAAGGTTGGGTCAGGGTAAAGGTTAGAGGTGGATGTGAGAACGGGAGCCATGCTGATGAGCTCCAGATCTCCTGGGGGCCACCTAAGGTCCTGACACCTGTGTCCTTGGCTTCTGCACCTTTGTCCTCGAGCTTGTTTAGCTTGAATGCCTGTTGGCCTGTCCCCTTGTCTGAGTGGTGGTCCCAGGGAGCAGGTGTAGGCCTCAGTCTGCACTGTAGCCCATGGTCCTGTGGACCGTGTACTTGCTATGTGCATGTAAGTTGGCATTTTAATGTGAGCGGGAGTCAGCATCAAACCACCCACCCAGCCCAGTATAAACAACTAGACGTTTCCTGTTTCTTGAAATGTGCTGATAACTTGATGACACCTCCTGTGCTTTGCCGGGAAACTGGGGGTTTGTGGGGGCGGAGGTGGGAATGGTGGCGTCCCTGCCGCCTCTGCCGGCAACAAGAAGAGAACACAGAAAGCAGGGGTGGAGGTGACTCGGCTTCCCGGGTGCTGTGGGGTCCTTTTGTGAGTGCAGAACACTTAAGAGTTGACGGCGTGGAGCTAATCCTCCACAAAGTCCACAAGGCAGCCGGCCGGTAGGGCGAGGAAGCAGGCCAGGGGAGACGGTGGTGTGGGCGGCGGTCCCATGGGTCACTGTGTGGCTTGGCTGATGAGATGTGATTAAACAGACCGAGCCACTGGTTTCGGGGTTCTCAGAGCCGCAAGACTCATGCTGCCGGCTCTCCTCCTTCGCAAAGCAGGTTTACGCTTTTCCTTCGGAGCTGCTAAGAAGCCACCCACGTGTGCACATTCTCTGTTCCAGGGACGTGGCAATGGACACAGTGAAGACGGGCATGGGCGGAAAGGCGGGGAACAAGGGTGCCGTGGGCATCCGCTTTCAGTTCCACAGCACGAGCCTCTGCTTCATCTGCAGCCACCTGACGGCTGGGCAGTCCCAGGTGAGGGAGAGGAACGAGGACTACCGTGAGATCGCCCAGAAGCTGACTTTCCCCACGGTGAGCGGCGCGGCGCTGGGGGCGGGGCCGCCGGTATGGCCGCTGGGTGCGTGCGCGCGCTCGCTGCTCCGCCCAGCCCCGCACGCGACTGTCTGCGCTGCCTGCGCAGGGCTCCTGGAATGGGACCGCGGGAAGGTCCTGCCCGTGGGGAGCCCAGCCCTGGAGGGCCCTGGGCCCCTTATTTCCGTATGTTTCCTGAATATGCATTTTTCCAGTTCAGTTCAAGTGAGTGGAAAGGGGAAAAACGAAAGCCAGTGTGTTCGTGTTTTGTCCGTGTTTTGTCCGTGTTGGTGAAGAACACTTGAATCCAAGCAGTATGAGATTTGGCTTTCTTGAGATTCACAGTCTTCACACTTAAATTCTGCTGTGACTCAGATAAGAATGACCATTTTTGAAATCCAAAGAGACCCGGGGCCGTCTCTTCTGGGCTCCAGGTCACCAGTGACACGCGTCTTGCCGCCCCCTAGTGGTGTCAGAGGTTTCCGTTCTGCAGCCCCGACCTTTCCAAACAGACTTGAACGTCCTTCCCGTGCAAAGATCACGTGCGCACCTTAGCCTGGTGCAAGCTACCCATTTCCAAACAGTGAGGGGAGACCTCAGCTCTTCTAGCCACGTATTGTAACAGTTTCTGTGACACAGATGGCTGGTTCATGGCTGTCACTGGGTGGTTGGTGGCAGAAGGAAGAGCAAGGGTCCTGGGTTCTTCAGGGCTGCGCTGGTGGACCCCGAGCTCAGAGGGACGGGGCAAGGCGGGGGCAGGCATGAGACGGAAGATCACAGCACGAAAATGTGTAAAATTAATGAAGATGCACGTCTGCTTATTTCCTTAAACCTCACCCTCACAACCCTGAACACTTGGCTCATTCTTAGGATGTAGACATAAAAGTGGGAGCACAGCCTGATGCCCCGAGATGGGGTCAGAGTAGACAGGGCAGCGACACCTCCCCAGTTAGAGTGGAGCTGTCTCCAGACCACTGTTAAAATAAAAATGTGAGCCGTGTTCAGGTTTCTCGGGAAGCATATGGCATTAATGAAAAATTAGGTGCTCTTGACTTTTTTTTAACATTTCAAGAAAAACTCATCTCGTTGTCATCTGCATGGTGAGTTTTTCTCCCCATCCCTCCTCTCCTGCAAGATGAGCCAGAGCTATCCTGATTTTCTTTACTACTTAGGGAAGAAACATTTTTTCTCATGATTATGTGTTCTGGTGTGGTGATTTCAACTACCGCATTGACCTCACTTATGAAGAAGTCTTCTATTTTGTTAAACGCCAAGACTGGAAGAAACTTCTGGAATTTGATCAGCTACAGCTACAGAAATCAAGTGGAAAAGTAAGTTGTGCTTTTAAAGTTCTTGCAGCTGCCTCACTGGAAATACATCTGCTAAATGTTGTTTGGCGAACTGATTTCCATGAGTGGTTTTAACAGTGACTCTAACGCTGTAGAATACGTATGGTGTATGTTTGAGAAATGCGAGCGTTCATGCAACCCACTTCCCGTTCCTCCTCGGATAGGCTGCTTTTGGGGTCTGCGCGTCCTCTCACGCCAGAGGAGCCACTACTGTGTGAAAGGAGCAAGAGGCTTACTTTCCTGTAAGCCCGCTGCGGGAGCCCATGGTGTCGGAAGCCTCTGCCCGCGCCAGAGCCTTCTCTGCGGTTAGACTAGGTGTGCTGGCCCTGCTTCTTCAGACTCATGCTATCACGTGAGGATGGGGAATGCTGATGACATGAGTCACCCCACGCTACCCTCATGTACAAGCCTTGCAGGGGCTGCTGTGCCTCAGATACAATAAAGCACCAAGTAGTATAGTAGGCTGCTTATGATGGTGTATTTTGGTGCTCTCTCTCTTTCTCATTGGTGAACATGTAACAAATTATAACCATATCTAATAGACTTTACACACCAGTTGATACCGATGATCCCCAAAACTGTCCTACACATTGGATGTCATACCCATTTTATAGACTAGAAAACTGAGGCCAACGTCACACAGTCAGTACACAGAGCCGTGACACTACCAAGCTACAGAGCTCGTATCTTCTGCCTACATGACCCATGGGCAGTTTTTTAGTGACTCCTTAGGCCATGACGTAATAGGAAAGATTCAGGTACAGGATCTGTCCTCAGTTCTTCAAAGTCACACTGGCCAGCCTTCAGATGACCCGAAACTTTTCTTCTCTAACAATTCCATTTGCTTGTTTCAGTGCCCGTTAGCATCCTAGTGGGCTGCACTGAGCTGAGCTAAATCCCATTTACCTTTTGAAGATGCAGCTGGTTAAATGTGTGAGGACAGGGAAGTTAAGGTCTCCCCTGCAGTGCAATTTGGATGTCCTTTGAGGTTTTCTGTCCCTTTCCTGCTCCACATTGCTGGTGACGTAGCTCACAGCGGGTGGCAGATGGAAAGCCACTGCACCATACCTTCCCATACAGATTTTTCTTTGTTCCCCCTTGCAGTATTCTCTGCACCCTCCCACTGATCCACTGGGGGGCTGAGTGAGTGTCCATCTGGGCTTGCCCACGTCGCCAAGGCCGGGTCCAGAGCTACACGGGGTCAGAGAAGCGTTCAGTTCAGGTTCAGCTTCGGGCTTCTGTTTAGTGTAACAAATATCGCTTAAGACCTTGTTAGGAGGTATGGACCAGGCGTTGCACTGGGCCTGGGACTGCACAGATGGGCACGTATGATCCTCACCTCATGCCTTTCACTGTCTCCTGGGCACTGAGGAGCAGAAGGTGAGCGGTCGAGTACTGGATGTGGGTAGGACACCCAATGGTGGTGTGTAATTCAGTGGAACAAATGGAAGGTCACCACTCTTTTACTAATGAAATGGCATGCTCATGTCCAGTTTTAGATATATTTGCAAATATAGTAGAGGTGGTTTCTTTTTAGGAATAGTGCACTCTGGAGTGTGCTTTTTATTTTTTGTTTTTGCACATAACCTGCAGAATCTAAAACTAAGGTGCTATTGTGGTTTCTTTTTCTCCCGATAGATTTTTAAAGACTTTCACGAAGGCACCATTAATTTTGGACCCACCTACAAGTATGACGTTGGCTCTGCTGCCTACGATACTAGTGACAAGTGTCGCACCCCTGCCTGGACAGACAGGGTCCTATGGTGGAGGAAGAGGCATCCTTTTGACAGAACAGGTGTGTGAGACAAGGGTGCTCTCGGAGCTGGGGGCTGGGGGCGAGTGATGGGTACCACAGAGGGAAACCCATGTTTATTCAGCCCAGTGCTTCTTGCTGAATAAATAACAGTTTTCTTGGTAACCCCAAACCACACAAAAGTCTTCCCAGATGTTAGTCCCTAAGCTTGGAAGTTGTGCTTTGGGGGTGCTCCCCTCTGGCTGCCTCCTGGAGGCTGTGATCTGCACATGGTCCTACTCCTGGCCCTCCCGTCCCACACCCCCCTGTCCCCACACTGCCCCTTGCCCCCATCTGTCTTTTGCCCTGGTCAAAACAAAGAGAGAAGCCCCGGCTCTTCTCTCAAGGCCTCTGCCCTTATGCCCGTTTTGTTCAACCAAACTTACTGCTTAAAGCCCCAGTGCCAAACTGAATATGAGCAAGACACAGGAAAGATAAGTTTTGTTTTTCTTTACCAATTAGTTGTCAAGTATGTTTTGGATGCTTATTGGTGCCAGCTAGTAAGTGCGCTTAATTTAAAATTAGAGCACCAACACACAAACAACTAAGTTTTTCTGGTGAGATGACGTAGACTGAAATGTCAGGGCCAGGAAATAACAGCTTAATCAGTGTGTGGACCCCTGCATGGCCTGGGCACTGAGAAGCAGGGACACTATTTTCTTAGCCTCTGCATCGCCTACTGTACAAAGGACTGTTCTCCTGCGTCCCCGTGGGCCCTGGGGTGGGACCCCTCCCACAGCCATTTGTGTGTGCCCGCTGGGGAGGAGTAGGCAGCTCTGGTCTCACTGTTGTGGATAATCTACACAGAGGAGTTGTTTATGCCGGCCCAGAGCCACATAAGCGTGGCTTGGAGAACAAGGGGCTGGGTGGTCGGTGATGTAGATCCCTGTTGTGGAAGTTCTCTAATCGGCACTTGTGCATATTGATACAATTTGTGTTGTATGTCGGTGTCTTGATTGGAATCCGAGTAGCTGGAGAACTCAACCTTCTGGAGAGCGATCTAGATGCTGATGCCAGAGTCAAACATAGCTGGTCTCCTGGGACCCTCAAGTACTACGGCCGAGCAGAGCTACAAGCATCTGATCACAGGTACGGTCCTACTTCCAGAGCATGTTCTTCTCAGCGGAGAGAGGCAGTGTCTGGTGCTCCCCACAGAGAGTGGACATGCCGTCCCCGTCAGGATGTGTGTGTGCATGTGTGAAGTGCAGGAAAGAACAGACACTACTATATGACAAGTAGCTGTGCACCCACATGTCCACCAGGAATTAATCAGTGCTAACATTTTTGTCATTGCTCCATATCATAAGTGATATCATTTATGAAAATTTCAAACACAACCTACAGTATTTTTATGTCTTTGAAATTCTCATAAATGATGTCATTGTGCAACTTGTGTTTTTTGTTACTTAATATTTTTGAGATACAAGCACTTCAATATTATAGATCTGGCTCATTCATTTGTAACTGCTGTTCAGTATTCCACTAAATGTATCTATGGAATTTACCCATTCACCTACTGATGAGTTTTTTTTCTGATATTTCATTATTACAAACACCATAGGGTATTCAAGTGTTGGATTCAGGTTTTTAATGCTCTGAGCTGTGGGCTTGGCCTTGGGCATCGTTAAAGGTGGAACAGAAGCAGCAGAAGTCGGTCAGCTCAGCGTGCACGAGGACTGGTCACAGGAGGAGGCTCGTCTCGTGGAACATCTTTAAGGAGACAGGATGGCATTAGAGGGTTTAGTAGGAAGAGTTTGTTCTTCCCACAGCTGCTACCAATACTAGCATGTCAGATTCAACTTTTACAAGGTTTATGGTGAGCGGTTGGTCAGCCAGTAGGTCTAAATCTTGATATACTTACAAATTCTTTAGAAACCTGTGGTTGTAAATACATACTAGGAAATTGGGAAACTTTCAGATACTTGATATTCAGGTTTGTCAGTTCAGTGAGTGGACTTAGAAGCATTCATTTAACCAATATTTATTGAGGAGGCTGATATCCTAGGCCCTGTTCCTGGCACTGAGGATAAGCAGTTAACAAAATAGACAAGACCATGCTCTCATGGAATTTTCTAGTGAAGGCAGACAGAAAACAAACAAGTGCTATACAGGGGGAAGGAGTAGTGGTAAGGGTCAGGCAAAGGGGTTGGTGCTATTTTCTAACCCGAGTTCAAGGAAGGCGTCTCTGATAAGATGACCTTGGAGCCCAGACCTGAAGGAAATGAGTGTGTCAGCCATGTGGATGTCAGGGGAGAGCATTCCAGGGCAGGGAGCGTGGCAGGAACATCTGGCAATCTGGAGAGCAAGAAGAGTGAGTGCCATGAGGAGGAGAGGGGAGATGGATAAGCAGAGCAGATCGGGGAAGCCTGTGGGCTGTAAAAAGCCCGGGGGGCTTTACTGGGAGCTGAGGAGTGGCGGAGCTAAGGAGTGGTGTCTCCTGACTAGGTGTTGACAGAACCACCAGAAGCGCCTCTGCCTCCCGTGGGGCCAGGGTGGAGAGAGGGAGCGGGCAGGAGCCAGTGCGGTAGGCAAGGAAGTGGTGCCGGCTTTGGGCCAGGCTGTGGGTCACTGTGGGGAGAAGTAGTCAGACTTCAAAACGAGTCCCCAAAATTGGCTGATGGAGTGAGTGTGGGGTGTGAGAGGGAGGGTTTGAGGATGACTTGGGGGTTTTCAGCCTGAGCAACTGGAAGGATGGAGTAGCACTTACTCAGCTGGGGAGATGGGGGGCCGGGGATACAGATCTGAACATAATGGTTCAAGATGCATCTTAGACATTTATTGATCTTTTTTGCTAATTATAAAAGCAGAAAATCTTGACTATTGACAGTTAGGGAAAATATATGTAGCAGTATGCTTATAGATGTATTAACATATATAAGAAAATTAGGATTATATGATACGAATTGTTATCATTTGCTTTTTTAACTTGCTGCATTAATATTTTTTAAATTACACTTTTTAATTTGAGGTAATTGTAGATTCACATGCAGTTGCAAGGAATAACATGGAGCTCCCGTACACCCTTGACCCAGTCCCCCCAGTGGTGAGATCCTGTCAATCCGTAGCACAATGTCCAGGAGATGACAACGTAGGGTCAGCACACGGCATATGTCCAGCACCCCGAGGGCGCCTGGTGTCGCCTCCTTATGGCCATGCCCATTGCCCTGTTCCCTAGCTGCCCCCACCCCACCAACCACTAGTCTCTTCTCCCTTTCGACATTTTACGTGAATGGAATCAGAATCGGAGAATTGGCTTTTCTCAGCCATTTGATTCCCTGGAGAAGTGCCCAGTCGCTCTCTGTGTCAGTCTGTGCAGCGCTGCTCTGCCCACACCTGCTTTCATCAGACATCTTCACTTCTCTCCAACACACAGGCTTCTCTGAAGAATCTCCCCAAAATTTTAAACACCCAGTGCAAAGCACTGGGCCAGATTCTTTGCATCTTTGTTGCTTCTAGATGCAATAAAAAAAAAATCTTCCAATAATAACATAAACTTGGGGGGAGAGGATAATACTGATATTATCACCCATCTCTCCTAATTTTTGAGTGTTCCCTAGTTTTGAAGGTTGCCATCAATATATACTATTGTGTCGTATGTTTTGTTTCCACTTGATACTGTAAATATCTTCAAGGTGACATAATCTTCATAATAAAGAGTTTCCTATATTTTTGTAAATAGAGTAAGCTCATCCCTATATCAAAATTACAATAATTTACATTTTTTCCTTCTAATCTATTATCCTGTTTGTCCAGTAGATTTCTACGTTATTCTTCAGGACTGCATAGCATAGTATCAAACGGCTGCATAACCTCTTTCCCTATTTTTATCCCTTTTTCACCCTCCCATCAACAGGCCAGAATGATCAACCTTGGGTATGAATCTGTGTCTTGATTTTCTGGTCATTTTCTTAGAACAGAGTCCTAGGGTCAAGATTAGGAGGTCAAAAGAGATGAACAGGGGTGGAGCCAGGATGGCGGCATGAGTAGAGCAGTGGAAATCTCCTCCCCAAACCACATAGATCTATGGAAATATAACAAAGAAAAATCTTCCTAAAATAGAGACCAGAGGACACAGGACAACATCCAGACCACATCCGCACCTGCAAGAACCCAGCACCTCACGAAGGGGGAGAGGAAGGCCACAAACCAACAAGAAGGAAAGCTCTTCCAGCGGTCACTCATACCAGCTCTGCAAACTATCTCTATCACCATGAAAAGGCAAAACTACAGGCAGACAAAGATCACAGAGACAACACCTGAGAAGGAGACAGACCTAACCAGTCCTCCTGA